GATTGTGCCCATCATACCAATAGCAGAAATGGACATATAGGTACAGTTGCTCTGGCTGGTTTAATACAAAATCCCTACCATATCTTCAATGTCCAAGAAACGTGTTTTTCTGGAAACAACATTCACAAATTGCTTTGAAGTTTCATGCTGAAGTTATAATACCTGGACTTTTGGGTGGATATTAATTTCACCAGAAGTGAACTATTGGTGTAAGTGTTCAAGTGCTGATGATGGAACCCCTATGACTAGTTGTCACAGTGATAAAGGGAAATTGTATGCATGGTTCTATTTCAAATGTGTAGATATTTTAGGTACACCAGAATCAGCATGGTTTTGTGAATTCTGATTCAACAAGTTCTATAAAAAAATATGTGTCTATTCATAATAAATATATCATTCAATCATTGTTTATTATTGTTTCAATCAGAATAATCAGATCATTGAATAACTATAATGTTCTATGAATATTTTTTCATGGCTCATGTAGATCTTTTGTAATATAGTGGAATAATACAATGTATTTTTCATTTAATGAATATTACAATTATTTTGATATACTTACTTTATTTGTCTTACATTTATGATTGATAAAAATAATTCACAACAAACTTTAATTTGTAAAAGTACTTATAATCTTGTAGATTTTCACCTTGTTTTCACCAATTTTCTCTTCTATTTCTTTATCTCCCAGGACACTTTCTTCATTACACTAAAATGAATGAAAAATGATGTACCAGTAGTATTAGGTAATTAGGTGTTTTCTTGAGAACATACCAGGTCTCTCGGTTCTGATGCTTGATTCATGATTTGAACCTTTTGTCCCATATTATATTGCAATGGGACCCAAGCTGGATATTCTCATCTTTCAGGCACTATGTTCTCCTACAAGGTAGATGATTTATTTATGTATTAGAAACATGATGTTTTCAAACTATGTAGGACCATCAAAAGTAATGAGTATTGGTTTATTTTATCAAAATAAAAAAAGGATAAGTTTTCCATAGGAAGAAACACTAAACTCATCAGTTCTAGAGTAGGTAGGTACATATAAATAATATTAAAATCCTTTTTCTTAGGTACCTGTTATGAAAATGGTGTCTGCTACATATCCTCTGATGGTTTATTATGATTGATTCTGTTGCTGATTCTTTCTCTTGATGGCTGCTATCCACATTTCCCTTATTTTTCTTGATAAATCCTTCATCTGTGGGTAATGCTCAGAGTTTTTCACAGTATTACAGTAGGAATGTGACAAAACAGCAAATGGTCCCGATCTGCACTGCTTCCACAATCCACCACAATTCACGTTACTGGCAATTTCTTCTTTGAAATCATACTGAGTTTTCATTATTCACAATAAATCTAGCCGAAACTCGATAAAATAATACTGTACGAGGCTTCCAAAACCCACAAAGTTCTCAAGTAAACAAACTTGTCTTTGGTTTGTTTGCCAACCAGACGCCATTTTGAAATTATTTGACAGGTCGTTGGATTGCCTAATTAAGCCAAGCTAACCCCTTATAAATCGATATGGATGGAGTAACCATCTATTTTATCGTGTTATCGTGACATGGTGGAGGAAACATCTATTCATATCGTGACACGGTGGAGAAATGGTCGATATGAATGTACTGAACCACTTCTATTATATGGTGACATGGTGGGAAACAACCATTATATCGTGACAATATGAAGGAGTTGCATGCCATACCGAAGCGGCGTCTGAAACTGTCCGCCATAACGAATTAAACGTGTAATTTTTTTATGTTCTCTTGAAATACTAGCGAAAAGATGATTTTTTCGCCAAATGATAGAGAAAAATGTGTCATCACCGATAATGACCATGCCATACTGTTCTCGTGTCCCTAAGTACCCGCCATACTGATTTGAGAATGTCGAATTTTTCACTAGTCAGAGTTTTAGCGTTTCGCTAATCATACGTAGTTTTTCTTGCTGGCTTCCGGTCTGAAATAGTAATTTCAGCGATATTTTATAACGAGATAAGTATTATGCAATCAAAATCAATTGAGCTCTATTCTATCTCGACCGAGAGAGAAGAAAGTTCTCTCCTCTTCCATCTTTCTCTTCAATGATACCAATGTAGCTTAATTGAAATATAGAGAGGTCCGATAAATCTGTCTTTGTCTAACATCTAGTTTGTGCCACTGAACTATTTTTGAATTCAGCAGAGAGTTAAATTTAACAATATTAACAAATGATGTCGTCAAAATAAGTATGATATAATTCGAAATTTCATTTAAAGAATTCGAGAAGTTATCACTCAATGACATTTATGACATTGACATGTCACATCATTATAACATCGAGAATAGTTCAGTGGCGCAGAGTAGACGTTAGACAAAGAAAGATTTATCGGACTTCTCCATGCTTCAATACGGCCACGTTGGTAGCACTGAAGAGAAAGATGGAAGAGAAGAGAACTTTCCCCTCTCGTTCAAAGTAGAAAAGAGCTCAATTGCATGATAGATCTCAACTAAATTAAGTTTTGCAGCACTTCTCGCGCGTTTTTATGTGAAAAATGTGTATGGGTTGCTCGAAATTGTTTCGAAAATTTCAAAGATCATTTCAAACTTGCCGTCATGGTCGCCATTTGGCCATGTTCTTGGATACCGCTGATGGTGACGTCAGTTCTTATGTTGTTACATTATTGGTCAGATAAGCTTACATTTCCACTTATAAAGCAAGGGTCACCAATTATAATCAAGTTATTGCATGGACAGGTTCGATAAACCTTCATTTTCGGAAATTAAGCACAATATCCACAGGTAACCAATCCTTCAGGTTGGGAAAGTAGGATATACAGGGTGTTTCACAGGTAAAGGGAAATATCTCAATGGTACATAGGGGTCACCAAGGTGGTTCAGAAAATACGATATTTGATAGGTCTTAGGATCTTCATAACGGAGATACAGAGCGGTTTATCGATTTCGAATGATTATTCATTCGTTTATAAGTATCGAATTACCCAGTATTTTTTCCTCCAATTTGGTATGGAGTTTATACTTGGTACTTTGAATTTATTCACCTATCGGACGGAGTGAAAGTCCAGGTTTGGCTTCAGGAAAAATTTACATTTATTCGAAATATTAAAATAACACACTGTATGTGATAATCAACAGAATTCAACAAAGGAATCGTGAAGAGGAGGAAAAACTGAATTGGATTTGATGCTTTCTATTTTCCCGCCACCAATTCTCATCGTAACAATCATTAACAGAAAGTTGAAAGTATGTCAATTTGAAGAGTATTGAAATTATAAAACCAGTTTTAATTATGATAATTTGATATATTTTAGTTAAATGATCGCTCGAAATAACTAACTACTAAGTATAACAGTCTTTATCACGGAGATACAGGGTGAATTATCAGTTTCGAATAATTATTCACACGTCCATAAGTATTGAACTACCCAGTAATATTGTCTTAAAATTTGGTATGGGCCTTACTTGGGAAGTTGGATTTATTGACCTATCAGGCGGAATGGAAATACAGGTTCAGCTTCAAGAAAAGTCTCACAGTATTGATAACGGAGATTATCGAATTATAATTATTTGATATTTTCTAGTTGAATAATCGCTAGAAGTATCAAATCCAATTCAGTTTTTTCTCTGGTTCACGATTATTCCTCTGATGAACTTTGTTAATTATTGAATACAGTGTGTTTTTTTATATTTCGAATGAATGTCAATTTCTCCTGCAGCCTTACCTGTATTTCCATTCCGCCCGATAGGTCAATGAATCCAACGTCCTAAGTAAGCTCCGTACCAAATTTGAGAAAATATTACTGCGTAGTTCAATACTTATGGACGAGTAAATAATTATTCAAAACCGATAATTCACCCTGTATCACTGTTATCTAGACTGTGAGACTTTTTCCCAAGCAGAACCTGTATTTACTTTCCGCCTGATAGGTCAATGAATCCAACGTCCTAAATAAGCTCCATACCAAATTTGAGAAAATAATACTGGGTACTTCAATACTTATGGACGAGTAAATAATTATTCGAGACCAATAATTCACCCTGTATCTCTGTTATAAAGACAGTGAGACTTAGTAAGTTCTCTCGAACGATCATTTAACTAAAATATATCAAATAATCATAATTAAAACTGGTTTTATGATTATAATACTCTTCAAATTGACATACTTTTAACTTTCTGTTTATGATTGTTAAGATGCGAATTGGTGGCGGGAAAACAAAAATCATCAATTCCAATTCAGTTGTTCCTCCTCTTCACGAGTCCTTCGATGAACTCTGTTTTTTATTACATACAGTGTGTTATTATAATATTTCGAATAAATGTAAATTTTTCCTGAAGCCGAACCTGGATTTTCGCTCCGCCCGATAGGTGAATAAATTCAACGTCCCAAGTTTAAGCTCCATACCAAACTTGAGGAAAATATACCGGGTAGTTCAATACTTATAGACGAATGAATAATTTTTCGAAATCGATAAATCGCCCTGTATCTCCGTTATGAAGACTCTAAGACCTATCAAATATGGTATTTTCAGAATCACCTTGGTGACCCCTATGTACCACTGAAATATTTCCCTTTACCTGTGAAACACCCTGTATAAAAGTTAAACAAGCCAACGTCAGTTTAGTTCATTTTACCAGTATATCACCTGACGAAGCTACTGTGTTAGCGAAACATGTGGTGTGTTTGAGAATTTTGTGAAAATCTTTGTGAAGTTTTTACATCTGCCATGGATTTCCATCAAGTAACGGCCGAGTCAATAAAAAAAAAATACTCAGGATAGTGATTGGCACAGGTGCCGTTAGATAAAATACAACGTTTTTACATGCCTCTGAGACACGTCATTTTGTTATCAGATGACGGTCGAAATTTGCAGCCAGCTCACATATTGTATTTTTTGTCAGTGTCTTTTATTATTGAGGGCACATAAAGAGGACAAAATAAATTCTCGAATCGTATATCCAGATTGAAAACATTTTAACATTTCATACTATTTTAGCCTGAGAAATGGTCAAAGGAGAATGTAACTCTAACTTGTGAAGGTTTTTGCACTTTGCATTGCATCAAAGTCAAAGATGAATCCTCAGAAGTTGATTATAGCGCACCTTTTACATTACTACCGGCTTTGGAGGACGGATATTTCTCTGACGTTATCATAATGTCTTCAAATAGAAAACAAGTAAGTGCATCATCGTGAGTTTGTTTGAAGATATGTTTGACACACATGTAATTGAATGCTCATGATTAGTGGAAATAATAAAAACGCTCAGTTGACAAGAAATATATATTTTCATAAAACGATATCATTTAATTTAATGTGGCAGTAAATTTAACTTATATGAATGTCACTGTTTCATTAGTCATAAATTTCCACACCTCATATGACTTTGAGGTGTGCTGTGAAAAAATAAATAATAAATAAATAAACTGGCCATCGTTATGTTAAACATAGAATTTACATACTGATTGCTCAATGACATATGACAAAATGATTCTGTCATATTTACTCATCATTTCCTTGAAAATAATCTTGAATTTTTTGCACATCAGGGCAATCAGTAGCTCAGAATTGTGTGTTCAACATAACGATGACCACTTTGAACATTTTAATATCGTTTATTGATACCCTATTTTTCTTATTTAAAGAACACCCCAGCTTCCCAGGCAACCAGATGACGTTACAGTGACGTCTTTTTTACGTCACTTGAATGACCAAAGTGACGTCAGTAGTTGACGTCGAATTTACGTGATAATGACGTGAATAAGTCACAGCCCAATGACGTCATAATGACGTCAAAATGACGATTGAATTTGGCGATGATACGTGAAAAAAACCTTCAACATGGTGTGATTAACACCACTAGCCTCTGATGACATTATATAATATTGATTATGCATTATTGAGTCTGCTTGGTGGGTCCTTCCTGTGTCATTTTGATTCAATCGCCTATTCAGCAGCGCCATCCTTCAGTACGCATCTCCATCAGAATGCAATCAGTTACTCGTATTTGTATAAAAAATTATGTAGTTTGTGTCGGCGAGATGTAAGCAAACAAAGAATAGTTTGATAGCAATGAAAAGGATGTTGGCGAATTTGGCTTCACTTTGTTGAATAATATATATTGATGCATTCTTTGTCACCCAACAAAAATCTAAATAATAGATTATTGAAAAATTTCCTAAATGACGAAGCTCACCAAATTGGTACGTCACACCGACGTGATTTTTAGACGTCATAGATACGTCACTATAACGTCATAAGAGTAACGGTTCGAATATAGGTATACCAAAACAATCATTTTTATATAAACATAGCTCATTGGTTTCCGAGATAATATACAGTGTGTCAAAGTTTTTTTGGAAAATAGTTTTTCTACTACTTTTCGGGTATATTAATAATTATGGAATAAAACTTGCATGTTGATTCGCTTTCATGAGTTATACTTCTGTTTCACATGATAACATACAGTGTAATTCATAAAGTCGGCATCATATGGGAAAAACTTTTATTAATGACTTATTTTGGAATTCGAGTTGGACGTTGAGTTTTGCTTCAAAAAGATGCAGAACGGCCTACTAAATCGGGGTCACGTGACTTTCGCTACATGTCAAAAGTTACATTTTTTCAAATTAATCGCTGAAAGTAGGCTTATTGTTCGAATATCGAAAAAGTTCACTTGAAAAAGTTGTTTCTATTCAAATTTTACATATGTGACTCGGATTTTATCTTTCTATTACATTTTTTGTTTGCATCAAACATAACAGAATTTTGAAGCGGAGATTATCATTTTCTGAAGAAAATCATATTTTTGTCGATAATTAGTGATAATTAGTAATTGAAAGTAAGTAGCATGATGAAGCTACTGGTATGAAGTAGTTTTATCGAATTTAAAATTTGTTTTACATTACAGAAATTTATTCGAAAATTTTTAAAAAATATCGAAATCTAAAAAATGTAATAGAAAGATAAAATCCGAGTCACATATGTAAAATTCAAATAGAAACAACTTTGTCGAGTAAACTTTTTCGATATTCGAACAAATAAGCCTACTTTCAGCGATTAATTTGAAAAAATGTCACTTGACATGTAGCGAAAGTCACGTGACCCCGATTGAGTAGGCCATTTTTCATCTTGTTTGAAACAAAACTTAACGTCCAACTCGAATTTCAAAATGAGTCATTAATAAAAGTTTTTCCAATATGATGCCGACTTTATGATTGACACTGTAATAGTATCCAAGGTTTAGAGAAAGTCTGGAAAAAATGGACGTCGACAGGACGTCCCTGCAACGTCATGAAACTGACGTCTTCTTTTACCCCTCTGAGTGACGTTCACTCGACGTCGAAACGATGACGTGATTATCACGTCATAGAAAGTACGTCATAGTGACGTCATGAATTGGTGTGTGACGTATCTGACGAAAAATCACCAATAAGGGACGTCACAGTGACGTGATCATTCGTCATCTGGTTGCCTGGGTTGTTTGATTCCAACATCAAAAAACGCGCGTTTGATTAAATTACCACAGCCAATAACACCAATCACCCGAAAAACGTGAAGTTTGAATGGTAATCGTTTTAATCATTGATCTAACAGGCATGTAACGTCTAAAAAAATATCATTAAAAAATTTCAACCATTTTACATCACTAGTTGTTATTTCCAGAGTTCTGATACAATGGCTGCTTAAGAAAATGTAATCTGTATTGTACCCCCTTTTGGGGAACAAACTTTAATCTGTTCGTATCGTATTTAATCATAATGTCGATATTTTCAAACTGGACCAGAGATATTTTTATAGACAAGTTTCCTTATCAACCTGACGAGTATGCACTGATGATGACTCAACAGTCGAAAGCGCTCTGCTATGAGTAATAAATTTGAATAAATTATCTTGCACGAAATACAACACTTCCCTTCATTGGTATACAGGGTGTCCGGAGATGAAACCGACAAGACCTATGGGGTCATAGGGACTGTCAATATGATTCCAAAACGCCATAAACCAATGTCCAAAGCCGCTTCGTTATTGACATACAGAGTGATTTGTGGATTTTGACAAAAAATTCAATCCGTCATATCAAATACAGGGATTAACCGATTAGATTCAAATTTGGTACACGAATTACACTGAAAAGCATCAACAAGCATCCCTTTGATGGAAACCAATATCAGGACCGGGATGATATTTTTTCCCTATATTGAGTTATTGTGAGAATAACTTACCCTGTATAATAATAACCAAAAATTTCAACTCAGATTCGAAATCTACGGTGGAAATTGTATTGGAATTTGTTGAAAATTTTCCTGGTACTATCTTAGTTATTCCGTAATTAATTTTTATTTCAATTTTTTTCATTCAAAAATCAATTATTGTCGGATGAAGTAGCATCGATATTGGTAATATAATAAATATTAACGAAGCCATGACACGAATATCGTTATTTTCTCAATCAGTTCGTAAATCGTAGTAAAATAAAATACTCTCATAACCCGAAAAACTGAAAAATAAATTCGTATCAGGACTGGAATGAGGTTTTTTATGATTATATTCCTGTAAGGATAGATGATCCAGTATAACAATAATCTGATCGCAGATTCGAAATTCACTGAGAAAAGTTAAAAACTTGTTGAAAAATGATCGGACTGAACTTTCAAATAATAAATCCGTATCAGTACCTTATGATGTTTGTGTATAAAGAATACTAAGGCTTGTGTCAAATTCAGAATTTCATTATGGAAAACCATTGTTTAGCTGTCATTAGCGTTTGTTGGTGTTCATTCATTATTCCAGTGTTTTTAGGATCAAACTATAGTTTTGAGATTGCGTTTATGATGCCGTTTCATTTCACTATTGAGGTATACGCAGATATTCTATTTGTATATGGAATTTAACTGGTGATGTTTACCTAAATTTGCTGGCCAATACTTTACGGCATCTATTGCAAGGTGTAAATACCAGGGGTATGTGGTTTCAGCATGATGGTGCAAGACCTCACTTTTCAGTTTCAGTTAGAAACCATCTCGATGCCAATTACCCCAATAGATAGATTGGCCGTGGAGGTTCAGTAAATTGGCCACCGCTATCTCCTGATCTAACTGAGCTATTTTTTGTTATGAGGTCATTTAAAGTAAGAAGTTCATAATGAAGAATTAGAATTAGAGAAAATTTATTATAGAAAATTACTGCTTCCTTTGTTAGTGTTAGAAATAACCCTCAAATAATTCGCAAGTCAATGAATCGTCTAATAGCACGCTTTCAAAAATGTATTGATGCTGGAGGGGTCCACTTCGAGAATGTTTTGTAATACTGGGTAGTGAGAGTGATTTACGAATTCATTGGTTTTGTTATGTTCATTACGAACAGTTATTGTTCGTTGTGTAGTATTTTTATAAATTCTTTATATTCTGAATCTACGATCAGATTATTGATAATTATTGATGTACTAGGTCAGCTAACATAAACAAACAAAACACTCATTCGAGTCCTGATACGGATTTATTCTTCAGTTTTTTCGGGTTATGAGGATATTTTATTTTAGTCCGATTCGTGAATTGATTGAAGAAAATAACGACATTCATGTCATGGTTCCGTAAATATTTATTATATTACCAATTTTGATGGTACTTACTTCATCCGACAATAATTGATTTTTGAATGAAAAAATTAAAATAATAATTAATTACGGAATAACTGAGATAGTGCCAAGAAATTCTTCAACAAATTCCTATACTATGTTTACCGAAGATTTCGAATCTGAGTTCGAAATTTCGGTTTTTATTATACAAGGTAAGTTATTCTCACAATAACTCAACATGGGGGAAAAATATTATTCCGGTCCTGATATTGGTTTCGATCACAGGGCTACTTGTTAATGCCTCTCAGTGTTATCCGTGTACCAAATTTGAATCTAATCGGTTAATCCCTGTATTTGATATGGCGGATTGAATTTTTTGTCAAAATCCACAAATCACTCTGTATCTCAGTAACGAAGTGGTTTTGGTCATTCGTTTATGGCATTTTGCAATAATATTGACACTCCGTATAACCCCATGAGTTTTGTCGGTTTTATCTCCGGACACCCTGTATTTACACGTGCACACAGATATAAGTAACCCTCACTTGAGGCGTTTTGTCAGATGCGCCGTATATTTGTAATGGATATAGGGATATCAGTTTTGTCAACTATCAAACACTGCTACCAATCGAATTGTTCTACCAAACTAATTTCTTCCTAGACTGAAATTCTCCATGAAATAATCACATAATTTTGTTTTAGTTCAAAGTACACTCTACGATATTAGAGCTACAAGGTGATGACATAGATTGGATGTCGGATCCTCCGCCCTTCAACGGTCTACCAGAAGAAGTTTTGGGGACTATTTTACATTTTCTGTACGCCGAATGCCTACCTGACAATTTGACAGAGGAAACTGCTAGACAGGTTATTTCTGCGGCATCACCATATGAATCTCTGTCAAAATTGGTCAGTAATTGCCAGCTGTATTTGAAGAACATGGCATTGAAACAGCGTAGGTATATTCATCATTCAAGTAAATTATACGGGGTTTTTATTTTTATAATGTAAGAAGTGGGGAAAATATGGCGTATTCCAGTATGTATATCATTCAGGTTATGTTTCTGGCATCATCCTAGGAATCTGTCAAAATTTTTTACTTGAGTACCTACTTGAAACAAATGTTATTTGTTGATAAAAATACTATTGAACGATGCCATTGTTCCAGATTTGTTGAATATACTGGGTTTTTCAATATTCAGTATCAAGATTTCAGGGACTTATTTTTCAGGTCACTATATAACTTTTTCTATTTCAAAGTTTGATTTTTTTATTTCTTAGTGCTATTTACAAAAAGTCAGGGTTCATTAGGTTTCTCACTCTTTAGGTTACGTTTGAAAACTTGTTATTAAGATCAGAAGATCACAAACTGAATATGTAGCATTTTTTGTTTTTATTGCGATAATAGGTTCCTCCTGTTTGTTAAATATTTCAATTATTTAATCTAACAAATTAATAAAATAATTTTTTTCTGTGACGGGAAAAAAGTTTGGCATTTCATCTCTGTTGGCAGGTTATAAAATGTCATTTTTCATAAATCACTTTTTTCCTGTGGGAAAAAAGTGAGTACTTTTCTCCCGGATATACCGGGTGTCCCATTTTAATCTTTATTTGAAAATTTCTCGAAATGTATGCATCTGACAAAAAAAATTGACGAATAAAAGTTGTATGGTTTGGAGGGGGACATCTGGTTATAAAACAAGTTTCACCCCCTGACCCCCATGGGAGTAAGAAATGAAGATAACATTGAAATCTTTAATGGAAACCCCTATTTTTTATTGCAGATTCTGGAAGAGCATTAAAAACTATGAAGCTTCAATTCGGGAACTTCTTTTTTATTTTCACAAGATGGCGCTGCGGTCGTAAAAAACAATATTTCACTATTTACACATTTCAACCCCCTGAAGACGAGGAAGAGTGTAGGGTGTGATATTTTCCCAGACAAACGCCATTGGGGTGATATTCACACGACAAATTAACGCTTAAACGAACTTATTTACCTTGACACCTCTACATAGAAAAGAGAAAAATAAGCATGTTTCAGCAATTGAGGTATCATTTAGGTCAGACTGAAGCTGGTTTTAAGTGAGATTGACTACTTTATCAAGTGTTCGAAATGACCTCCATTTTCTTGAATACACAAGTTCACTCGTTTTTCAAAATTCCGCATTGTCGCTTCCAACATAGCAGGCGTTATCTTTCATATTCTCGCGTGTCGTTGGGGGTTCGCGAAACACAATGTTTTTGATGTGACCCCACAGAAAGAAGTCTGGGGAAGTCAAGTCGGGTGATCTGGGTGGCCAACTACAAACTAAATAGTAAAATATTGTTTTTCAAGATCGCAGCGCCATCTTGTGAAAATAAAAAAGAAGTTCCTGAATAAAAGCTTCATAGTTTTCAATGCTCTTCCAGAATCAGCAATAAAAAATAGGGGTTTCCATTGAAGATTTCAATGTTACCTCCATTTCCCATTCCCCTGGGGGTCAGGGGGTGAAACTTGTTTTATAACCAGACGTCCCCCTCCAAACCATACAACTTTTATTCGGCAATTTTTTCAGATGCATACATTTCGAGAAATTTCCAAATAAAGATTAAAATGGGACACCCGGTATATCACATATATATACAGTATGATGCAAATGTATGGAATAAATTCGTTATTTCAGAAATGGGCGACATTTGAATAAATTCAAAAAACACGTGAGTTTTAATTTCTGAAGCCTCATCTCATGATATTCATATGAGAGATGTTACGTCACTGGTGTTGGAGTAAAGACGTAATGGACGATTTTTTCAAATACAAATAGGGGTCATGTGACACCTCGATTGAAAGGTCTACCGATCGTCTATTCAATCGTCAAAATGTTGCATAAGAAGATTGAAATTAAAATGGATTATCATGTGATTAATTGAATCTTGCAGAGGTCTGCTACTGAGAATTGAACATCGAAGGGTCGTCTAGTTAAAAAAATACGTCGAAAAAAAAGTTTTAAACTCTAGTTTTTGGTTTTTTTTTCGAAAGTCGTCTTGTTTTGAAATGAATTTATTCCATACATGTGCATCATACTGTATATATACTGTTGATGGCTTTTGTTGTACTATAGTTCCGAAAAATGAGTCAATAATACCGTCTCCGAGAAAGAACTGCAAGCCCTTTTATCTTCCATTCGACTTCGCGGTTACGTATATGACTAAACAACCACTAAATTCGCAATTTTTTCAAATCAAATACAGAATTAGACTGACAGAAGTGACATCAGATATTTGATTACTTCAAAATAATGATAAAGATGCCTATAAAAACGCAGGTGTCCCTACTGTTAAAAACTTGAAATGTCACGTCGATAATTTTCAGATTTCAGAATAATGTAATATCTTCTCAATATTGATTCGTTCTTTCTTTTGTCACAGAAAAAAAATAGTGTATTATACACGGGAAAAATATTAGATTTTAGCTGTCAGTCTAATTCTGCGATTTGATTCAAAGAAATTGCGAATTTAGTGGTTGTTTAGTAATATACGTAACCGCGAAGTCGAATGTAAGATAAAAGGACTTGCAGTTCTTTCTCGGAGATGGTATTATTTACTCATTTTACAGAGCTATAGCACAACAAAAGCCATCAACAGTGTATATATATGTGATATATATCCGGGAAAAAAGTAATCACTTTTTTCCCACGGGAAAAAAGTAATTTATGAAAAGTGGCATTTTATAACCTGCCAACAGAGATGATATGCCTAACTTTTTTCCCGTCACAGAAAAATAACTATTTTTTCTTGATAACGGTCGCAGATGCGTGAAAATTACAATAGACAAGAAAGTTCAAGAATAAAACAAAGAAGTCACTTCGTGTTTCAAAATGTCCCAGTGGCGCACCACAAAAAAGTTTATGAAGCGAAAAAGGGCCTGACCCCTCGAAACATATCTCTGTAGATTCTTATAATCACTTGGCATACTGTATGATGTGGAACTTAAAAAGTAACCTTTGTTTCAAATTTGATCTGAATATCTCGAAAATTAAAAGAGCTTTGAAGAAAAAAGAAATTTCAACGCTATGTAGATCAGTAACGAAACTTCTGCGGACACATATGCTAATAGAAAAGAAGGTCTTATTTTTATTTGCAAAATAAGCCCCTGGAATTTTGAAACAACCTGTGTAGGTACCAGGTGTAAACGAATTGATTAGACAAGTCATAACTTCTAGAATATTAGATATATCGAAATAAGTACTCTACGTGAATGGTAGGTAAAGAGAAGAATTTCAGCATATTTTCCACTTTTCGGTCCCTTCTGATTTTATCAGATTTCCGGAAATGGTTGGATCTGTATTTTTAAATGGAACACCCCCTATATTGCCATTTTTTATTTTTGAAACATTCATGAAGCAAAATGTGACATTTTTGAAAGTCCTTATGCCTACTTCCTTTTTTAGTAACTTTCAATATTGCATGAGATTTATGTCACTGTCATTACCAAAATGAGTATTTTGTTTTCCAAAGGCGACAAAAGTAAATAAATTATTATCCATTAGTTTCATTAGTTATATTTGATATATGTTCTTGATTGCAAATAAATTAGTATTATTGGAGTAGTCAAAAAATGTTTTTGTCGGAAAGTGCTTGTCAAAAAATGGTCGCCGTTTGAAAAATAATAGACACAAAAATTAGTTATTTTTGTATTGACTGCGTGAATTGTAAGTTGGAGTGTTTTTAATGGCACATGAGAGTGTTCATTTTTGGCCGAGACCGCAGGTCCAGATCACTTTCAGTATTGAATAAAGTTGAAGAATTGTTATTGTCAGCTCATAAGGTTTATGTCACTGTCATTACCTAAATGAGGTGTTTTGTTTTCCAACGAAGACTAGATTGGAGACACTGCAAAATATTATGCTTCATGACCATCCAGGCACACTTGACAAAAGTATATCTAAACTACTCAACACTAATTTCGTCGCACACCAAAATGTCGCTTCTGTTGTAATGTGAATAACTTTTTTCAGTTTAGAACAATTTGAATTTGGTTCACACTGTAAGTCCCAGTCCACACTGTAAGTCCCAGTCCACACTGTAAGTCCCAGTCCTTCAGCTATAATCTCGTACTTCATTGAAACATAAGGGTATTCACATAAAATCTCTACATGGTGTTTTCCGACACTGTGCGAAATTTCGGAATATTCAAAAAGCTCTCAAATGGTGAAAAAAATTTTTTCTCAACTTCGACAACAGAGGCATGAAGATGATCTCATTATCTCGAGATATTTCGCGAATCAACTTCCTATCTCTCTTATTTATAGAGTGATCTCAAAAAATCAACTTTTTGGTTTTGCAGCCATAACTTTTTTCCACGTCAACCGATTTTGGAAATCTTAGGCTCATTTTGAAGATGAAACTTCAGATGAAGAGATCTGAATATCAGAATTGACTCAAGATGGCTATCAAAGATCTAGAGTTTTCTTGAAAGTGACCCAAATCTGGAACGCCCTCCGAATCTCGGTTGGGAGGAGAATTGAATGAAAATCAACTTGTTCTCAGAAAAACAATTCATTCTGGATGCGTCCATATTTTCGTCGCTCTCAGTACGAAAGAATGTGCGTGAGAAAACACAATTGAAACATGTTCTTGCAAAAACATCAGACCATTTCTCCTCTGTAATGCATGGCCCGTAACCAACGTTACAAGACTGAGTAAGTGACTGAAAAGTCAGGTTAGACGTCGTTTTCGAATCATAAACAGATTTTGATAGTTTCGATGCCGCATCTAACGCCCGACCAGTTGGAACTGATTCCACAAATGTGGGAACAAGAGTTATCTTTCCTCCAAATCGCGGATCTGCTAAACACGACAGTCCGATCCATTCAAAGGGCTTATCTCCGACACTAATTTTTTTGTTTATTACTGTCGATTCGTTCGAGGCATTATTGCGACTGAAAACTTTACGTAATTGGCAAACTTTTTTCATGAAACTTTCACCATTTTTGGAATGCGTTTTCACAATAAATAAACGTTGTTTGCTTGAATACTTCTCCATATTCTCAAATCGCATGTTATGTACGTGACAACTGTTAAAAAAACCACTTTATTGAAAAAATCAAAATCCGTTGCTCTTGTTGGTACACCATTTATGATGAGTCTCAGCTGGTCGGGTTGGTCAGTCACTCATTGTGATTCTTGTAACGTTGGTTACGGCGGGCCATGCATTACAGAGGAGAAAATGATCTAATGTTTTTGCAAGAACATGTTTCAATTGTGTTTTCTCACGCACAATTCTTGACTACTGAGAGCGAGGAAAATATGGACGCATCCAGAATGAATTGTTTTTCCGAGAACAAGTTGATTTTCATTCAATTCTCCTCCTAACCAAGATTCGAAGGGCGTTCCAGATTTGGGTCACTTTCAAGAAAACTCTAGATCTTTGATAGCCATCTTGAGTCAATTCTGATAATCAGATCTCTTCATCTGAAGTTTTATCTTCAAAATGAGCCTAAGATTTCCAAAATCGGTTGACGTAAAAAAAAGTTATGGCTGTAAAACCAAAAAGTTGATTTTTTGAGATCACCCTGTAAATAAGAGAGATAGGAAGTTGATTTGCGAAATACCTCGAGGTAATGAGATCATAAAAAATTTATCATTTCTGAACGAAATAGATAACTTTTTTTTTTATTCTTTTCAACTTTTGATTCATATTCAAATTGATTTTTGCTCACCAATATGAAATGATTTGTCAAAATTTAATAATTAATGTTTTCAAATATTTTATTATTCATCAGTTTATTATAATTGTATAGTTTTAGGTATTATTGTTAACTATACTTCCTTATACCAGAACTTGATTCTGACTGGAAGTAACATTTTCAATAAATAAATAAATAAATAAATAAATAATCTTCATGCCTCTGTTGTCGAAGTTGAGAAAACATTTTTTTTCACCATTTGAGAGCTTTTTGAATATTCCGAAATTTCGCACAATGTCGGAAAACACCGTGTAGAGATTTGTGAATACCCTTATGTTTCAATGAAGTACGAGATTATAGCTGAAGGACTGGGCTATCGTACAGTGTGAACCAAATTCAAATTGTTCTAAACTAAAAAAAGTTATTCACATTACAACAGAAGCGACATTTTGGTGTGCGACGAAATTAGTGTTGAGTAGTTTAAATGAATTATTATCCAGTAGTTTCCTTAGTTTTCTATGTATGTTCTTAAAAATTGCGAATAAATTAGTATCATTGGATTAGTCAAATCATTTTGACGAAAAGTGCTTGTCAAAAAATTGTCGTCGTTTGAAAAATAGTAGACACGACATAGGTATTTTTCTATTAAGTGCGTAAAATGAGTGTTTTTAATGGCATATGTGAATTGTATGCAATCAACATTTTTTGTACAACTGAATGTCAATTTACAAAATTGAGAATTCAAACAAGATATTTAATTGTATCTTCTCCCAAACAAATCAAAATATCTGGAATCAACTCTTCCAGAAATATATAACGTTTCTGATCAGCAGCAACATGGAACATCTTCGGGACTTTGTGTTGGAAGTAATTGTTCAACCTTTATCACTATCAATTATTATTCTAATAATGGATATTGTTTCATGATGAATAATCAATTAATCATTGAATGCTAAAAAAAATCATTCCTGAAATAATATTTCACATTTCTCCTTAGAATCACTTGAAAAATCTACCCTAGAAATTTGGCCATATACATTTATAACTCCCTGTATAGTGGATAGTATGACATATCTGGACTAAATTATTGCAAATGCTTTTGATTCCATAAATTTATTGAAATTCTATTGTTTATCTGGTGACCTAAAATCTCTGGTTTTTCTGGTATCACTTAATGTTTATTTTAATCATCTGTGGATTGGATTAGATAATATAATCCAATTACATTCATTTGTTCACAGAAATAATTGGCATTGTGGGTGATATGCACAATTGCATAAACCAATTAATTGAAAGATTCAATACAAGAAGTAATCCACCAGGAGACAGTATATCTGGAAGTCCAGCAAAGCTATGTTTTGTGGTGAAACAGTCCATAAGAGATGCTGCAGTGGGTAATAACTAATAAGATTAACGTATTCTCGTTATATTCCTTTCAGTTTACCCATTCGGGTCGATTTTGTTCGGATCTAGTTATATACAGGGTGTTTCCGAAATTGGGGCAATAAATGAAATGGATGATAGAAGACTAAAAGACAAAACAAAATGAAAGAATACATTTCTGTTGACTATTCCACTCTTGATCTCAAGAACCAATCAAAATCGACCATTTTCATGGTTTCTTCTGTATTCTAGCGATATTTTTTGTTCATTAAATTTTATCGGACTTGCTCTACCAATACAGAAGCCGAATTGACCCACACGTGACCAACTAACCTCGTTTATCAGCGATAAAATTTTGTCATCGTGACTGGTCAAGATTGCTTTGGATTCAAATCTGATACAATAACCTAAGTTCCTACTTTATTTTATTTACTTATAATTCGCGTTAGTGAGATTTTTTGTACGAAAGGCGAGACAATTTTATTCTGGCTGGACGTTTCATGTGTAATTTAAAATATTTGCATATTTGTTGACGGTCTGACACAACAATAAAAGAATTCAAATACCTTTTTGAAGTAATCTTCTTCAAATACTCAAGTAATTGTGACTGACTGAATTACTAGCTGATGTGGCGCAACTGTTAGGGTTGTTGCGCGACGATATATTTTTTTTAATTATTCCACATAAATTCAATTTATTTTGTTTGAATTGGATAGTAATCGTATACACTCTTTTGAGAGCAACCATCTCCAAGATAATAAAAAAAATACTGTTCATCAAAATTGTACATTCTACTTTGTGAATAACTATAAGGAGGTAGTCAATTTCTAAAAAAGTAAATTCTGTATTTCATTACTATCATTATGTTCTTCTTCGCAGTTCGAGTTGGAATGTACTTAATTTATGTTTCCTATTTCTTTTATATATTGTCTCATTCAATCATGAAATAGTCATACGAATACAACTCGTGATACTATTTTTCCTGGAAATATCCGTCGATTGACATACTCCAGCTTGCTGCTCTAATTTCGCTCATGACATTGATCCAAAACGAAATTACTAGTCAACAAGCTGTCGTAACAATCACCCAATATTTCCGGCAAAATATTATCACTTGTGGTATTATATATGAAAAACATTTTTTTTTGTAAGATACTGAGCTTCAAAGTTTGCCTTCATCTTTTGTAAAACATCGATCAGAGGTTAATAGCCCAATCCAAGCTTTTGCTTTCGGTAAAATCACAAGCCCTGGAAGTATCAATAAACGTTTTCAATGTTGTCGGACGTTCAATACCTGATAGTTAAAAGATGTAGTATGGTGGGAGTGCACATTTTTTGAAAAAATCAAATTCAAATCATTTTTTTTGGTGAAATGTCTCATAGAATACCTCATTTTATTTATTGCCCCAATTTCAGAAACACCCTGTATAACTGAGTGATTTTCTTTCGTTCTGAACCAACTGAAATATTTCACCTGAACTGAACTGAATCAGTTGACATGTATTTTTCTCGAAATGGTTTGTAGAAAAAAATGGCCGACGTACTTGCGTAGTATTTATTATCAGTACTGCATGATCTCGCGAATCCAAAAGACTCGACGCCACCTGGTGGTGAAATTGTGACCATATCTAGTGAGTAATCGGTGATGGATGCATCGATTCACTGTACAGGGTGATTCACCATAATTGCCCCCTCCTCTAGCTCACTTATTTTTGACCCGATTTAAAAATTTGAAGGATGATCTAAAATGATTTCTCAGAATTTTTTTTCCCGTTGCATCAGGAAATACAGGGTGCTCCGAACAAATGATATACAGAGTACTACTCGATATTTCCAAATGGAACACCCTGTATTTCATTATATTTTTAGATTCTTCCTGAAGAGCTGATTTCATCATTGCATCACACTTGGGGTCTAGCGGGAATGATAACAGATATAGGGTGTTCAAAATCGAGATTTTTCAAGTTTAGGATTTTTTTGTCTCGAAACTATTCATTATTGGTCAAAACGGCTCCTATGTTTCCATCTTAATTTTTGATTAACTGTCTATTGAGATTTGATTGGAACATTTACAGGGTGGTTCATGATTCAGAATTCTGATCACCCTGTATCTGTTCCAATTATTAAATGTCAGTAGATAGTAAATCAAAAGTTGAGATATGGACATGAAAGCCGTTTTGACCGATGATGAATAGTTTCGTCTCAAAAAAATCCTAAAGTTGAAAAATCTCGATTTTGAACACATTATATCTCTGTAATCATTCCCGATAGACCCCAAGTGTAATACATTGAGCAAATCAGTTTTTCAGGGAGAATCTAAAAATACGATGAAAAATAGGGTGTTCCATATAAAAAAATCAAATGGTACCCTGTAGATCGTTTGTTCTGAGCACCCTGTATTTTCTGATGAAGCGGAAAAAAACTCAATCAAAAATCATTCAAGATGATATTTCAAATTTTGAAATCGATTTAAAAATAACTGAGCTAGAGGGGGGGACATTCATGGTGAATCACCCTGTACAAAACGAGATACATTACTCACAATCCGCCATTGCTGTTGCAGCGCCCTAATCGATGGTTGGAATTGTAGATTTTATCAAGACTCTACTTCTCTGTAATCCCATCATCGATCGTTCTTCAGCCATTTCCACGTTGTTTGTGTTTGGTTTATTGTGCAGAATATAAATTTTTGCTAGTTTTTTCCTGCTTCATCAGCTATTTTGAGGGGTTTGTTTGTATGACCGCTGTTTTTTTTCTACGATATACATACAGTGAGGACGTGAAAAGTCCTTTCCCCCTTTCAACTCTTGAACGGAATAAGGTGCGAAGTCGGGTAAAATTCAGGCAAAAAGGTACCTCTTTCACTACTATTTGGCATGAAAATGGTTGTGGTCACGTGACCTAGTGTCAAGTGGGCACCATCAACTTTTCATTTCAAATATGAAGAGGGGTCACGTGGTACCTTGTTTTGAAGGCTTTTCGATTCTCACTGTAAAGGTACGCATTGCGCGCACTCGTCAGCCGGTCACGTGGTATGCGTAAAACTGATAACTAGCATTGTCCTTCCATTTCTTGTTTACTGATCAATGATGCAGAAATTCAGTTTCATCACGTTCAGTTTCACTTTCATCGGTTCAGTTTCAGGGTTCAGAACAAAAGAATGTTACTAGTGCTGATTTACCAATATTTTTATGGTACGACATAATGAGATATGACTATGAAGTTTCTTATTCAACTACTACAGTAACTGTATAATTGATTTTAAGTTTTACTGATAGCAATATTGTTTGAAAACGGTGGATATTCGAATTGAAAATACTGTTTTGAACTTATTTGTCAAGTGTTGTGTACCATTAGTGTAATTATTTTGAGAAGAGGTTATGTTCTTGTCTGTGAATTGGATTAAAATCGACTCGATATTGTAAGCTGAATAAAAACATAAACTAAGGGGTGGGGGGTTATATTTGTCTGTTCATTGGAAATTGATTCATTTCTTGTTACCATGGCCATAAGCCAAATTTATAATAATAATAATGAAAAAATTTCAACTTCGATTTGAACATGTTGATTCGCAAGTCACGAAAATCAGATGGACAAGGAATTAAAAAGCTTTACACCTATGTCTTAACATATTTTTAAGCGTGTGAGGGGCAGTAGGTTTGTTTTTTCCTGGTGTTGTGTGAGTGAACATCAGAGTGTACCTTATAATTATTCTCTTCATTCTCTTCACTTTCACTAACTTCTCATATACAGGGTGTTTGAAAAAACCTGACCCCCTTGCTAGGGTAGGTAGAACACTGCAAAATAAGTTGGGTATGCTCAGTGAAAAAATGTCGTAACGGCATCCGTTTTCATGTTGAAAAAAATATTTTTTCACACATTTTTCACGATTACGTCAAATACTCACAACATTGTAATGAAATTTTGTATGGATGTTTCTCGAAATCTGACACATCGCATGAATTAGTTTTTATATCTGACTCTCATAGAAGAAGCTGAAAAATTTAAAATGAAATTAAAGAACTATCTGCTGAGTAAACTTTAATTCCATATCTACTAATAGTACTTATCATTCACAATTTGATTACTTGTAATGGATTTTAATATTTTCATTTTATATTTTATTATAATTTTTTTTTTAGGAGAAACAATAATTATGCAATTATTATTGTTTTGATTCATTATGTTTTATATGTATGTTTTGTTGAATATATCCCTATTATAAACAATAATGTTTCTTGGGATAATAAAGACAATCAATCAATCAATCAAACATAACTTTTTTGAGGTTAGATTTTTCAATCCAAATAGGATATGAACTTGAACATCATCAAATTTTACACCAAAAAGGTAATCTTGGTGAAACTCGATACTATGTTCCGTTTTCGGAATATTTCGATTTGAAGATAATGGGGTAAGAGCTGATGATGGTATAAAATGATTTTTTTTTAGTTCAATTACCTATTTATTCAGATTCAAAAACAATAAAATCATTCTTTTACTGAAGTTATTGATGAAACAAAGAATAATAACTAGAAAATTAAGAGCTATTTGACTAGAAACATGAAATATTGAATCAGTTAGAGTAAGTGTACAAAATGTCCTACGTTTCGACGAATACACGATTCTATATTCTATTCTTAAGAATGTATTATTCTTGTAGACAGTTGAGAATCAGCTGTTATGTCATTCAAGTGATGTTCAATTATGTCTTACATCAGTTGACGTGAGTTTACCTATGTAGCATAGACTTTCTGCTCAAGATACAACAAAACTGTGTAATCCATGTTCTTAGTCAAATCTGTTTCGATGTTATTCTTGTGAATCAATAAGTTCAGCATCAGAAATGTATTGTTGTTTTTGGTTTTCAATAAATAGGTGATAATTTTTCATAATACTCACTCTAATACATAGCTTTATACCAGCAACATTTGTTATCACTTCATCATTTTCAAATCGAAATATTCCGAAAACGGAACACAGTATCGAGTTTTACCAAGAGTACCTTTTTGGTGTAAAATTGGATGATATTTAAGTTCACATCAAATTTGGATTGAGTAATCTAACCTCAAAAAAGTTATGTTCAAAACTACTCGGTACGAACCGTGTAACTGGCGCCCTCTATGAGTCAGATATAAAAACAAATGCATGCGATGTGTCAGATTCCAAGAGACATCCACACAAAGTGTCATCACAATGTTGCTAGTAGTTTCGACAAAATCTTGAAAAATGTGTAAAAAAATGATTCGTTCAACACCTTGTATCTTGATAACGGATGCCGTTACGAAATTTTTTTACTGAGAAAACCCAACTCATTTTGCATCGTTCTACCTACCCTAGTAGGGGAGTCAGGTTTTTTCGAAACACCCTGTACAATTAGAGAGTACAATTAATTGCAGTTCCATGAACAGTGGTTTGCTGGAGACCAGTCCTAGCTTCAACAAGAATTCGCTGTCGCCAAGGTCGTTAGATGACGTTTCGATGACATTCAGAACTACGGGAGAAAATCCTAACTTGTGCCATAGATTGAAAGTTAGACGCGTTTTTCCGTAGTTTTTAATGTCATCGCAACATCATATAATGACCTTGGCGACCGCGAATAGTGCTTTCGGAATAATCACTTCGTTAAAATTCGTCCAAGATTCTACACTTTGAAGCTTTTATCTAGATCTAGAGCAAAAACCATCGATTTCTCCTAGTAAGTGATGACATAAGTCATGATTACAAACCTATTACTGATAGTTTTTTGAGCCCTATTGCCATTAACTGAAAATGCTAGGTGGGTGAACTAATTTTGGTCAGTACTTTGAAATAGTTAGTTAAACCCAGGCAATCAGATGACGTTCCAGTGACGTCATTTTTACGTCACTTGAATGACCAAGGTGACGTCAGTAGTTGACGTCGCATTGACGTGATAATGACGTGAATAAGTCACAGCCCAATGACGTCATATTACTCACGTCGTATTGACGTCATTCACTCACCAAACTGTGACGTCCTACTGACGTCATAATGACGATTGAATTCGGCGATGATACGTAAAAAAGATTCCTTTAACATTGTGTAATTAACATTACTAGCATCTGATGACATTATATAATATTGATTATGCATTGTCGTTGAGTCTGCTTGGTGGGTCTCTCCTGTGTCATGTTCATTCAATCGCCTAATCAGCAGCGCCATCCTTCAGTACGCATCTCCATCAGAATGTAATCAGTTACTCGGATTTGTATAAAAAATTATGTAGTTTGTGTCGGCGAGATGTAAGCAAGCAAAGAATAGTTTGATAGTAATGGAAAGGATGTTGGCGGATTTGGCTTCACTTTGTTGAATAATGTATATTGATGGATTCTTTGTCACCCAACAAAAATCTAAATTGTGAATTATTGAAAAATTTCCTAAATGACGAAGCTCACCAAATTGGTACGTCACACCGACGTGATTTTTAGACGACATAGATACGTCACTGCAACGTCATGAGAGAAACGGTGATAATATATAAGTATCCATGGTTTAGAAAAGGTCTGGGAAAAATGAACGTCGACAGGACGTCCCTGCAACGTCATGAAACTGACGTCTTCTTTTACCCATCTAAGTGACGTTCACTCGACGTCGAAACGATGACGTGATTATCACATCATAGAAAGTACGTCATAGTGACGTCATAAATTGGTGTGTGACGTCTCTGACGAAAAATCACCAATCAGGGACGTCACAGTGACGTGATCATTCGTCATCTGGTTGCCTGGGAAATTGTTCACTGAAACTTGAACAGACAAAAATAACCCCTGATATACATGATATCTTGCGTTTATCTGAGGATGATTTTACAAACGGTGACTCATATCTGACTTTTCTAGTGTCTGCGAAATTGATATTGCTCTGTGACCTTTTCACGAAACGGAAAGGTGAGTTGACTAGACACGAAAGACACGAGATCATCAGATACGCCAAATCGAGACTTCCGGTGTTCATAATGCAGCTCACCAAATTTCTGCAGGCGTTGAAAAGCACGTTCAGTTCAATGTCTTCCGCACAGAGGATGGAGATCGCCTCGTTTTTGGTGCCAGAGGTATGATTAATATTGATTCTCTTACAAAACAATAGCTATTTACTTACCAAGGGAGGAAAATACTGCTTCTCCTTCTGAGGTATGTATACAGTCTGTCCAAGATAAGCTTGAACAGCATGGGGATCTCGAAAACGGTAAAAGATACGAAATCGGTTAAATGGGAAAAACGTTGCGCATTCGGAGGCTCATATCAAGAGCCTTCGAAAATTTTGAAAATTATTTTTAGTTTTTGAGTTATATCGAAAAAAGTGAATTTTTGGAATTTCTATTTTATTTTTTTTCTCCGTTATTATTAGAGATACAGCAAAACTGAGAATACTTTTTCATAGCAACTTTTGATGACGGTCAACGTGGTGATACCGATTTTTTCATGCGACGTTTCGTATTCGTGGAACCATCATCAACTTTTGTTTTTTAAATACGGTCCTGATAATTTTTTCACAGATTCTAGAAGGTTTTTTCATTCTGAATTCAACCATTTATTATACAAGGTGGTTCATTTGTGTTTCGACCTATTTTTGACCATCATCAATGTTTTTTCGAAACTCCAAAGGAAAAATGCCATCAGTTCCACTTATTTTGAAGGAAAATTAGTCAACACACTGATACCTCATCAACTGGTTTCAATCAACAACTCATTTCATTTTGCGGAAACAAAAAATCCATCCATACAAATTCAGAATATGTCAAGCGCTGAAACCAGGAGATGACGAAAGGCGCAAGACATCCTGTGAGTGGTATACCAGGAAATGTTAAAATTTTGCAGATTTATTTCGAACAATCATCTGGACTGATGAAAGCATGGTCACTAATCATGGTAGCTTCGATAGAAAAAATACACATTATTGTTCACGAGAAAATGAACATTTATACATTACAGCGAGACACCAACACCGTTTCGGCTTTAATATGTGGGTTGCAATATTTGGTACACGAATTATTGTTCCTTCTATTTACCATGAAACACAGACTTCCGAACGTTATAGAAATTCGCTTGAGAATCATCTTGAGGAAGCTCTGGATGATTTACCGATTGCGGAAGTTCAGAACTCTGTTGGTTTCAACAAGATGGCGCTCCGGTACATAATTCCAGAGAAGTCCGTGCGTTTTTATCCCTTGGCCGGCGCGGTCGCCTGATTTAACACAGCTGGATTTTTTCTTAGGGGATATATCGAACTTTGTACACGCAAATAACTTTGAGGATGAAGAAGAACTAAGGGACAGTGTCTTCGAAGCATTCAATAGAATAACCCCAGAAATGCTTAGCAATGTCTTAGAAACAACTGTGAGAAGAGGATATCTTTGTTCAGAAAATAATGGTTATCATTTTGAACATTTGTTATGAATGTCTCTGTAGGTATTGTCAAAGTTAAGTTGTTAAAGTAATTCGTGTAAGAATTCATCAACAATTTTAAACGCTGCATTGATCGAATGATGTAGTGAAATATTTTTTATTCACTTTTCAGTATTGAATAAATAATCCATCAAGTTTGACACTAAATGATGAGAAATAAGTGGAACTGATGGCTTTTTTTCTTTTGGAAGTTCGAAAAAACATTGATGATGGATAGAAATAGGTCGAAACACATTCGAATCACCTTGTATAGTACATTGTTGAATTCAGAATAAGAAAGCCTTTCAGAATCTGTGAAAAAATTATCAGGACCGTATTTAAAAAACAAAAGTTGATGATGGTTCCACGAATACGAAACGTCGCATAAAAAAATCGGTATCACCACGTTAAACCTCGTCAAAAGTTGCAATGAAAAAGTATTTTCAGTTTTTCTGTATCTCTGATAATAACGGAGAAAAAAAAATAAAATAGAAATTCCAAAAATTCACTTTTTTCGATATAACTCAAAAACTAAAAATAATTTTCAAAATTTTCGAAGGCTCTTGATATGAGCCTCCGAATGCGCAACTTTTTCCCGATTTAAGCGACTTCGTATCTCCTACCGTTTCCGAGATCCCCATGCTGTTCAACCTTATCTTGGACAGACTGTATAATTTTTTTCTACTACCTTACCAGAAGAATTCATTTTCAATTTCTAAAGAATAGAGGCAAATGGTACTGGAAATGGTACTTTTTCTCCCGCCGGGAAAATACTAGGTTGGCATCTTTGCCAACTCTTTTTACTCTGCGCTTTTCCAAAAAAATTTTGAACAGTGTGTTTAGAGGGTTTTTGGGGATGCTGATTATGAATCTGATAAAAAAAGGTATTTAAAATGAGTCCTAATATCCTTTTCCAAAATAAAGGCCTTTTTTGTACTCCTCAACATCGCACGCCAATGGTGAATAAAACTGTTCATTCTGGTAAATACTTCCTTATTCTCTCATACAATCACTACAAAAATTTCAAGAGAATCGCACCATTGATAACTGAGATATCAGGGTGTATTTATGAAAAGCGGGACACACTGTATATTCCTTTTCATATGGCTCTCTCGATTCATCAGCATCGAACTCAATTTTACCTCTTCAGCGAGATCTTTCGACAAGTCGTCTTCGCTGGAACTCATTTTCAACACCAAGAAGCGACTTAGAAAGGCTAACAAAGTGACAGCTTATTCGCGGTTTTCAAGGTCATCATCTGACGATGTGATGACGTTTAAACTGGGGAATACATGTCTAACTTCCAATCTATGCCAAGAGTTAGGAATGTGTTTTCCCCCAGTTTTAACGTCATCGCCACGTCAGATAAGGACCTTGAAAACCGAGAATAACAACTGTTATGTTTGTGTTACCAAAACTAGCAAAAAAGCGTTGTCTAGTAAGGTAGTATAAAAAAATAGTACAAAGTGAATGTTTTTCCACCACCTTGTTTTGACTACTAAGGTAGTTTTCGTCATTTTATGAACCACAAGTCACTAAAGATTTCTATGCGATATTCGCAGGAATAGCACTGGAATCTAGTAGATAGGTATTTATCAATAACGATTCGTCATATGCTGTCATGGTCATGGCTACTAGATTTTAATCAGAATTGAGAAGAAGTGCTTTCATAGTGACATTAGGTCTATTTTTGAGTTTCAATGAACTATAGTGGTGAAAAAAATTAACATACACCTTGGTAGTAAAGAATACTATTACCACGGGGCTGAAGCCTCGGGACATAATCTTGGTATTCTTCTATTCGTATATTCTGTACTACCTTGGTGTATAAATAACTATTCTCGGTTCGTTAATGCTATTGCCGTGTTTGAATTAAACACACTGAGAAGTTATTTAAATAATCAGAATAGGGTACCAATAAAATATTATATCTTATTTGAATGCTATTGTTCATTTGTGTTCGATAATTAGGCAGGACATTTTACTAGATTGAGTTCATATGAGCTCAATTGGCCAGAAATGCTTAGTTTCTAATGTACAGAGGGTGGTTGGAGTCTCATTGAAAGTGCCTACATAGTTATACAGGGTGTTTCAAAAAACCCTAACCCCCTTGCTAGGGTAGGTAGAACATTGAAAAATAAGTTGGGTTTGCTCAGTGAACAAATGTCGTAACGGCATCCGTTTTCAAGATACAAGGTGTTGAAAAAATTATTTTTTTACACATTTTTCACGATTAATGCGAAACTACTGGCACCATTGTAATGAAATTTTGTATGGATGTTTCTTGAAATCTGACACTTCGCATGAATTCGTTTTTATATCTGACTCTCATACATGGCGCTAGTTACACGGTTCGTACCGAGTAGTTTTGAACATAACTTTTTTGAGGTTAGATTTTTCAATTCAAATATGATATGAACTTGAACATCATTTAATTTTATACCAAAAAGGTACTCTTGGTGAAACTCGATGCTATGTTCCGTTTGCGGAATATTTCGATTTGAAAATAATGGAGTAGTAATGATGCTGGTATAAAATGAATTTTATTGAGTTCAATTACCTATTTATTCAGGTTCAAAAACAATAAAATCATTCTTGTGCTGAAGTTATTGATGGAACAAAGAAACATCAGTAGAAAATTAAGAGATATTTAACTAGAAACATGAAATATTGAATCAGTTAGAGTAAGTGTTCGAAATGTCCTACGTTTCGAGGAATACACGATCCTATATATTTTTTTAAAGAATGAATTATTCTTCTTAACAGTTGAGGATCAGCTGTTTGGTCATTTAAGTGATGTTCAATTATGTTTCACAACTCTTGACGTAAATTTACCTATGTAGCATAGACTTTCTGCTCAAGATACAACAATACTGTGTAATCCATGTTCTTAGTCGAATTCGTTCCGATGTCATTCTTGATAAGATTCATTGTTAAATCAATGAGTTTTGCATCAGAAATGTATTGTTGTTTTCGGTTTTCAATAAATAGGTGATAATTCTTCATAATACTCTAATACGTAGCTTTATACCAGTAACAGTTACCACTTCATCATTTTCAAATCGAAATATTCCGAAAACGGAACACAGTATCGAGTTTCACCAAGAGTACCTTTTCGGTGTGAAATTGAATGATGTTCAAGTTCACATCAAATTCGGATTGAAAAATCTAACCTCTAAAAAGTTATGTTCAAAACTACTCGGTATGAACCGTGTAACTAGCGCCCTCTATCAGAGTCAGATATAAAAACGAATGCATGCGATGTGTCAGATTCCAAGAAACATCCATACAGAATTTCATCATAATGTTGCTAGTAGTTTCAACATAATCGTAAAAAATGTGTAAAAAAAATATTGTTTCAACACCTTGTATCTTGAAAACGGATGGCTTTACGACATTTTTTTACTGAGCAAACCCAACTCATTTTGCAATGTTCTACTTACCTTAGCAAGGGGGTTAGGTTTTTTTGAAACACCCTGTATACATGCTGTATGATATTTCTTTGCGCGTACGTCACAACTTCAAAAACGAATCATATCAATTCAAGGTCATATGTTTCAGTGAAGCAGTGCTGTGCTGTTTCAGGAATTGGGTTGAGAAAAATTATACTATTCAAAAAATTTGTATTCACTACTCCAGATAATTTTGACTAAGAATCATTCAATAAAACATTGGATTGGTATATATTTCCAGTTTCAACTCTTGAATTCGTCATTTTATATATACACACCTTTTTAATGTTTTTGTGAGGTATTCTGTGGTTGTGGCAGAGCACTGTTGAGTCGTTTAAGTTATTTGGTGAAATAGAAACATTCGGAGATACCATCACCGACCGACGAAGTGACGAACTGTGTTTTCAAAAAAGATATCTATTTGCCGTTATAAAGGTTCGTCCGAGTTCTTCTTTCAAAATTCTAAGAGTGATGTGTTATTCTGTAAAATAGTCAGTTGAAGGGAGTCGAGATATCAAATGAAATCAGTTACTTCTTGCACACATAGTATAGATCACATTGCGTACTTCCATTTCCAAATTATCATCCAGATCTACTTGGGTTTTTTTAGTCCTAGATCTGCGACACGCTAAAATTATGTACATCATGATGTAATGTTTGATTATTTTGATTACTGATCAGGACGAATTATGATTTACCTGTTGTATGGAAGCGGAAACAGGATAAAAGGACCATTATTATCTTTCTATTTTGTGAAATATTGACCACGCAAAACGATGTCATTTCAGCACCTACTGCAAGACTCTGAGTTAGCAGATTCAAATGTGTCTCGACATAAGAACACCTCTGTATTCAAGATTTCAACTATTTGAGTTCAAAATCGTTGTCGTAACTTATGTCAACAAACGTCATGATAGACATCGCTGCTCTATATGCAAGTGTGAAGAGGATAGAAAGTTGCGCGTAGGTCTATGATGATTTCATTCACTCGCAAAGAAATATTATATAGACTTTACATTTCCAGTGATCTTTGAAACAAGAACAGATGGCGATTTGAAATTCCAGTAGGTAACACAAAGATGTTCCAAAATATAACGTTGCCAAATTGATACTATAGATGAAGTATTTAACATCAAAACAATTTGCAAAATTCATAAACATTTCCAGATCATTCGTTTTCGCTGAAGGAGAGTGAAGGTGACTCATTAAACTGTTTTTCCTATTATAACTTTCCACTTGGTCAGAAACTAAGGAGATTATGTCATTCTATTGTAGACTTTGTTCAGTGGAATATTACAAGGAATCCCCACTCATTTTTTCTGTAAATACTAGGGAAACACCATGTTTATTTATTGCTCTCTTTCCAGATTGAAGTTATTTTAGACACGATATCTATGTTGATAGTCCATGTGGAAAAAACTCTACAGCAGATAATTCAGGGCCTGTTTACTCCAGATTCCACTAAATGTAAGAGTAATGTGGGTGATATGATATCAAAAACCATTAGGAATATTTTGCATATCAGGGAATTGACTAAATTGAATACCCTGCATGAACACATTACCTTCAGTCTGGGATTATTAGTTCATAAAAAGTAAGTAAGTAGTGGTCCAATTTTGATTAATTCAATAATGAATGAATATTTATGAATGTTGAAACGGAAATTATGTGTTTTGTTCGGGTTTGTTTCGGGGTCCTACCGACTGCGCCAGTTTAAGTAAATTTCGAATAAAAATACGGCAGTTAACATATTCCAATCAGAAATATGAGGTTGGGATAATGGTTAGTTCCTATTTTCCACAATATTACTAAGTCACAACCCGGTGGCACAGATGTCGAATATGTTTAGTCATAATAATTATTGAGAACAGTTTTACTCGTCTTAGAGTTAGAATTTGATTTATATTGACAACGCAGTAATAAATAAGGATAAGCTGAACAAAACAGATATTCGAACCAAGATTAATTGATTGATTGTCTTTATTACCCCAAGAAACATTTCTGTTTATGATAGGGATACATAAATACATATAAAAAAATAATAATAAAGGGTTGACTATAATGAATTCCACTCAGTGGAAACGAATTAATATTGTGTCTTATAAGATTAAAGTTATATTTCATTCCTAAGTAATCAAATCATGCCACATATTTTTCATTCAAATTGTCCTGAGCAAGTATTTTTTAAGATTGATTTTAAACCTTCTCGCATCATGTATATTTTTCAACTCATTCGGTAATGAATTGTATAAAATTATTCCATTGTGAAAAACAGATTGTTTGCCAATGTTTGACTTGAATGTATTTGCTATCAAGTAATTCAATTGTCTAGTCCCATAATTATGGACTGTATTGACTTCATTGAAAGCTAAATTTGATATTTTCAATTTATTCCTGGCAAAATGAATAAAGCAACATATTTTAAGTTTATATAAGGAAATCAGGTACAGAAAATGTCTTGGTTTGTATAAATTTATCGTTGGTTCTAAAAAATGTAGATGAAAAATGCACTTAATTGATTTGTTTTGTAATTTCATTAGTGGTTTCAGACGCGAAATATTTGTACTCCCCCAAATAGAAATTAAATATTGCAAATTTGAATAAATTAGGCAAAAGTAAATACATTTCAAGTATTTTATGGGAATAATATTTCGGATTTTGAATAAAATGCCTATGATCGGATTTATTTTATTTCTCAAATAGTCTAGATGTTTAGTCCATAATAATTTTTCGTCGATATAGAGACCTAAAAATTTTGTCACGTCTGTATATTTAATTTGTCTACTTTTCTGGCACTGAAACACACCGAATTGCACAAATAATTAATGAACATTACTAAAAATAATCGAACTACTAACCACTTTTTTGTGGCAACACAGCGACTCAATCGATACGAGAAATCGAGTAGTATCTACACAAGAAAAAACCACGAGACGTCGTCACACTTTGTAATGGCGAGGAAGTGTGGTTACATAAAATTACTCGACATGACAAATTGCATTGAAGAACATGATATGAGCCAGCCACAATATAGTTAACCAATCAAATCATCCAAAGACGACGCCACAAGTGAATAAAGTAGTCTCATTGCGAAATATTTGATAGTCCATTAAATTTGCAGAAGCAGAACGTTAAATAAATTCATAGAATATTGTCAGTCGCTGAGGTGGCGAAGTCATACATCGGTGTGGGTTCGATTCCCACGGCCTTCTTTGGGATTAAGAAAAGATGTGAGTGGCAGTGCTGTCCTATATACACTCGTATAATAGTATATACAATATATGCACGAATTAATACAATAATTATTACATGATCTGGATAAATTGACAAGATACGAAAAAGATGGTTCAGATATCCCATAACCAAAAAAAATGGTCAAGAAGAATCCAAATTACGATTCAAAGAATCAAAACTGTAAAAACAGACTTAGCAGTAGGCGTTACTGGAGCCTGTGGTCGATGTCAAAGGTCCACAACATTTTTTGAATAGACCTGCTTCTTCGACAATTTTTCAGGAACAACTATGTTCCATGTGGTGATAAAGACAAACAAGCAATCGACAGTGGTGTGTCCTGTATATAAAATACAAATACTTTAACTGAAATTATGGTTAGGCTTAGGCTGGTTTGAGTAATTTTAACTTAAATGCGAAATTTTACGCATAAAATTTATCATGGAAGCAAGCCCGAAAAAAAAATTCGCAACAAGAAGTATATCTATGTCAAGTTCCTCATTGCCCCTTACTCTATTCTTGGTATTCCAGAGAAAACTTCATTCAGATGTCCTCCTCACAGAAAATTCGATCTATTGCGAGAAATCTGGAGCAGCTTATTGAAGAACTTCCTATATTCTTGATCAAATTGGAGGAGACAGCTTCTGTTTTTGATGACAGGTTAGGATGGAGAGACTTTAAGTTCTGCTTCAAAGTTGGTACCAGTAAAATAGTAAGTGGTTTAGTTTTCAGTTTGCAAGTGATAATTAATTATGGGATTTGTTTAATAAGACGAATATTTTTCCATAAGTACCAAAATAAGTTATTGTGTGTAAAAACAAATTTCTTTACAATTTTTTTACTCTTTGATAGGTTTCAATCAATCAATCAAAAATATGCTTTATTGTCTGATAAAAATTACTTATTGACAAAGCGTTAGATTATACTATCTTCTTGCGATATTTATAATAATAATGATAATAATAATAATAATAAATGGGCTTCATTCATCGATATAGAAATATTACAGCAGAGAAAAAAATGGAAGTACACACAAAAATAACGAGTATCAAAGAAGACATTCATGGAAAGGCGAAGTTCAACCAGTGAAAAAGAAAATAAACATACATTATTGGAAATAACTGCACTTTTTCCTATATCTTGGTGCTTGAGTAATGTTTCACTAACCAATACAAAGCAATACCTGTATACATTTGTATTTTGCATCCTATTCTTGCCGAACGTGTATAGTTTGTGTAAGTCATGTATACGGTTCAGAATTTATGAAAATTTAATGGTTGCATATTATTAAGGTTCCTATCCTAACAATGCAGTAACCCCTGAAACAATGAGAATTAGTTGGATATATAGTAACGCTTGAACACTTATTATTAAGAAGCCAATTTGCAGTAGGTCAATGTGGACTTTATTGAGTAGCCTAGCTGACTTCTTCCACTGACTAGTATGGTATATACTCAAATTCCTACGAATTACAATATTAACAATTAATAATAACATGGATTAGAGTGACTTACGATTGCCCATAATGTCCAAGCTATTATTTCTTCGGATATATTCAGAATAATGTATCATCTAATGAATGTTTTCTGACAACTTGAATTCTAGTTCTGACAATGCCTATCATCTACTTTGTACTGAGTGATCGATTTGAATTTCAACGAGATTTGGAAATTGAATTATAAAAACGAGTAGGTACACTAAATGGTATCAATAGTTATTTCTAACAATCACAAATAACGTGTATTTCAAAACGGGGGACAATGTTTACTAGCCCTATAATTCATCATTACTCAGATACTCCTTTTGAAGTTAAGTATTTCACTACCTAAGTAGTTGTTTCATTCCATTGACTAGTGATTCATGAAGACTTAGCGAAAATTTAATCACCCCGACATCAACCAAATTTTGAAAAGAGGAAAATACAGGGTGATTGTTTGACGAGGACCCATCTTGAATATCTCCGTGTTTCTAACATCTTCACCTTCACACATTATTCCTAAGAATTTCAAGGACCCACTTTGTTACATACATTGGATGAGGAATTTCTTTAAATAATCGCAGGTAATATCGCAAGACCATGACAGCCGACTAGTATTTTCTTCATTATTCTATCGAGAATTATTCAGATTAATATTGTTCATATGCCTCATTGAATTGTCTCAAAATTCAAGTTACTCAAGATGAATTAAATAAAATAATAGTCTCTATTTGTCATGGTCAAGTGATATTCAGGAAGATTATTTCATGAACAGTATAAAATACTCGTTTATATAAGTTTCAACATTTTATTCAAGCTACATTTTACAATTCTACAGATGCTATTTGAAAAAATATCTTCTGAAGGCCTTCTGGGGTATTCTTATCATATCTACGTACAATAGCAATCAATTCATCTGAAGTTAGAGCAAAATAGGATATTAACGCTATTCAACCATTGAATTCGATACATTTATATACAATACAATTCACAAACGAGTGAAATTGTTCCATACGAAATAAAAGTATGTTTCATTGGTTGAAATTTATCAGTTTTCACCCCATTCTGAACTTTTGTGATGAAAAAATATCCAACTGAACGTATATTTATACCTACATATAAGATACTTATTCCATGTATTTCTTTGGTATATATGTACATACCAACCTGAAATCGACCTCCATTGAGGTCCTCCAGCCTTATCATTCAATATCTCGAGAATAAATAATTTTTTAATCAATATATCGTATCCTTTTACCCACTCGAGGAGACGCTATGCACTCTCATACAAAAATCAAAGACAGAAAAAGATATATGGATGTACTCTTCCCAGGACTTGTGGAGGAAGGAAGATGCGAGGATCGTTTATCCAAGCAGAAAACATATTCTTGTCCTTGTCTGGCAAAACAGTTGATTTGCTTCAAAATCGTTTGTTGTTATGTTTGATTGTCACTGCTTGTCTAGTGTCAGTACTCTGATATACAAAAAACGTCAAAACAGCAGTGTCAAGTACATTTAAGAACTCTAACCCTATCTAACCCGGTATTATGGAATGAAACACATTTGAAAATCAGAAGATGGGATTTTTTTTGGTGAAACCGGAAGTGATGGGAGAGTACGAACTATTGAAAAATTTTTCAATTCTCAAATCCCACACCCCTGCCAAATTCTCATACCTTCGGAACTCCGGAAACCATAGCTTCTCTAAAAAATTTGTTCACTTTTTAGTGATTGTACAGAACTGAAACAAATTACATTCATGAAATATATTTCAGTTTTTTCTCTTCTAGCACGTTTTTCCTACCTGAAATCTTCTCTTTCCTGTGAATAGTTCATGTTGTCATTGCCTGACAGCTGTCAGATATGAGTGATATTTCAGATGAGAATAAAATTCAGAGTATATCAGAGAGGATATTGATAGTGTCAATATGTTATTATAAAAATATTATTACCGCGGGACCTTATATCTCTAGATTGATCTTGGTCCCTTGGAGATAATGATGTTCATTACTATCATTTTATATAACAACTTTTTCGTTTCAGTCAGATGTCCTCCAAAAATTATTAATTCATGTCGATGATTTGCAAGACGTGATGCTGCAGTTGTGTGAATTGGTCCGCAGAGACGAATTCACGCAAACCTTGCAGTGTTTGGGCTTGTTGAATGCCACGGGCACTGCATCAGATATCAACAGTTCTCCGAATGTGAACGGAAGTCCTACATTCTCACCTCCGAAACATCAGACATTCAAGGTTAGAATATTTTTTAGTGTTCGTAATTCCAGCTTTTCCATTCGCTTCAACTTGTCTAATTTTATTTAATGCCTTTTCACATGTTGCAATTTGAGTTACATTATCTTATATTTTCCAGATGATATTTTTGGTTTACCCTTTATTATAATCCATTCCAAATATGGAGACAGAGGTGGCGCTGCCTCTGATGGAATATTTACACTGAAGAAATACATATATGGCGCCTAATACGAAATCATAGCAATAATTTTAATGATTATATTCTACTTTGAGTTCGTGTTCTTAGGATTTGTTGCAACATATAAAACATACGAAAAATGAATAAAATGTGATGATAAGATCATCTGATTATAGATTTTGAATCACGATCACTTGAAACATACCTGTACCGATTTTCATCATCATAAAACACATGGATTCCGAAAAAAAAAAAATATATTTTTTTTTGAATATGTGATCAGAAAATGTATCATACTGTGGCATTTTTAAAAAGAATTGAGGACTACTTTGAACATATCTACCGATTTTTATCATTCAAATATACGATGTGTATGAGAAAATGAAATGAAAAAGTATGCAGTATTCCATTATCATTTCAAAAGAAAAATAATTTGATTTTTCGGACACCCTGTGTTCAGTGATGATGATAAGTGGTACAGGTATGTTACAAGTGATCCTGATTAATCATTAGTTTTCGAGTAAAGAATTATCATGATGAAAAATATTGCTCACTTATCCTTTCTATTTTGTTTTTCGAGTCACATTGTATATTCCAATTCAGGTATGTTTGAAGTAATCCTCAATGATAATGTGTCATCAGTTCTTTCCAAAAATACTACAGTACTACATTTTCGATCATCTATCAAAAAATAATAATAATTCGTTTTTCCGACACCAAAGTGATCATGATTGGGAATCCATCATTATTTTTTGTGAAAAAAATCCCTAACAGTACTTTCTGAAATATTGGTCAATACAATTTGTCGCAGTTGGCCACGATAACAGTCCAAGAATAAAATCACTCTCTTGTTGGATAGTCATTTCAAATACCTATCAAACAAAAAAGTTTTTCGCAATCGATCAGATAATTATGAATTTCCAGGGGTGGTTAGTCCTTAAGGTGGACACATTGTATGTATAATAACAATATGAATAACATATAAATTTCAGCTTTGCTGCAATAACGTAAATGTTTATAAAATTTTTGAAGTTTCTAAATTATATGAACCATACTTGAAACAGGAACAAATGTCTGCCATCGAACTTCTTGATAAAAAAACCTATTAACTTCAATATATTATAAGAGGGCAGACATGCTGCGATCACGTTTTTGAAGCAATTTTTGACGTTTTTCGACCTCTGAATGCGCCCAAGAGAAATGTCGACGAGGATATTGAATCCCCATTTCACCTACGGCAGGTTAAATAGTATACCTAGCATCAATATGAAGTTTGCTAACATACCATAAGTCTGCCGGTCGCTGGCTCTTAGACTATAAGTTTGAGGCTGTGTCAAGTCATCCGTCTGACCACAGTGGTGATACCAGAATGGTCAATGGCTGACTACACTCCCATCAGAAGTTAACGTGGTAACTTTGTGGGCAGGTTTGAAACGTGACCGATATTCCCAAACAGCTGATTGGTCAGACTGATGATCAGACTTTAAACTGAACGTATGTGCCCGGTCGAACCACAGACTTGACAAAGGCTCTCTAACATTTGAAATTTATGTCATATACGTTTGTTTTCTGTCAGTTCCTGCTTTTTTCATCTATTTATTTGTGGTTATGGCTGACCCTAGGGTCCCTTGATGGAAATTGACGTTAAAGTCATCTTAACAGGGTACGGACAGATCATAGCTGCATTCTTTTTTGATGATCTAGAGACTTTGATTTTGTCTACTGGCATCCCTGACATTGCTGTCACGTCACATCCATGGGCGCTACAGAAAATCATTAAAAATTTCAATAATACGTATTTACTTGTTGAGGAAGATCATATGGCGAACGAGTTTTGTAATTGTGATCCGATTCTATTCAAAATTGGAAGGTATCTAGGGTTTTCCGGGGTTGGAGATAATGATTGTTTCGTCAAACTTGGAAAATTCAAGATGACAGATCCAATATATAGCGGTAGACATTTCTAATTCTGATCTGATTTTATTTAAGATTGGTATCTGAGGGTTTTCGGGGTCGAACTTCATGATTTTTTTGTCAAAATTGGGAAATTCAAGATAGCGGATCCATTATGGCTAACGAGTTTCATAATGGAGATCCCATTCTATCAACATTGATATCTGGGGGTTTTCGGGGTAGGAGATAATGATTGTTTCCTCAAAATTTGGAAATTCAAGATGACGGATCCAATATGGCGAAAGACATTAGTTTATATAACTATTACTCTACCATGAATTGAAAATATGTAGGATGCAACAGTGAAAATAACGTGCCTATAAATTATACTGCGTATACCTACTTCTTTTTTACTTTCATCGATAAATTATTCGGAAATGACTTTTTATTTAAGGGAGACGGAAAAATCCTATGTATAACATGGGGGTAAAGTATATTCTACTCTTTATTTTCCTGCACATTTTACGTATTACTTTTCATCAGCCTACTTTTCGTCCCAGAAGAAGTTCTATACATAGTGTGATAAACTCCATAAATTCTTCTCCGAATTGGATTTCCGAAAATATATTTAGCACACATGACATAGGTTTCCACCATAGTGGAAGAGAAGCTCAAACTCGTCTTGTTCTGCGCATGACGTCAGCTGGGATATAACTGTAATTGTTATTATTTGTTTTCGTGATTGATGTCTCGAACTTCAGATATTGTATAAGTACTTAAATTGAAAGAAATAATTTCGAAATGCCTACTTGTTTCGTTTCTGGTTATTTAAATTCCAACTAACATACAAAAGGCACAGATATTGAATTTCTCTGCTTTTTCAAGAATGGAGACCTAATGAAACGATGGGAGCTTGCTGCCGACAGAATGTAAACTCAAATTATGGTACCTACCTTTTATTCCTCATATCCTCATTCCAAAGTATTCACTTATCATATTATGATCACATTCATATTACAGCACGTATTTCTTCAAAACATTTTCATGCAAAATGTTCCCAAACAAGTGCGAAAATACGGTTCTTGAATTACACACCTCCAAAAAATCATGAATATCATGAAACAAGATGCCATTCCTACAGATCATCTTCCAAATATCAAGTCAGAAATAATTGAAAATGAATTCAAAACTCTTAATTTCTCACAAAATATAAATTGCAGCAAAGATTTGAATAACAAAACGACAAAAATTAATACTCCTGTTGTCGATGTCGGAGCAGAAGCAACGTCAACGTCGTTAACTGCTGAATTTTAATCTGTCAGAATCGACACAGTAGTGGATCATTCAGATGGGATTGGCAATACATGATAATTCGTATGTATTTGCTATTTGCGATTACGAATTACCTCAAGATCACAATTTCCAGAATCAATGAAATAGTAAAATCGAAGGAATAGGTACCTGTTTATATAAATTGAATTATTTCTAAACAGATCGAAAAACTTATAAAAATTTCAAGGAACTTAATTGAACTCATTGCGCACGCCCATGGCAACGGTATCTGTCTGTGACTAGCAGCTGATATTGGTATCCCAGATGACGTCACATAATATGCGCGTAGGCACACCATCTTCTCCTTCCACTATGGTTTCCACCATTTTTCAATCATAACGCTCAGCTCATTCAGCTCATAGATAAACTTCTGCTCATCTTGAAATCAGAATTCATTTAGTCAATTCAGTCAACCCTGGTATACAGTCTGAGAACAGTCTCTTTTGGTGAAATATATTAAGGTTTCAGTACAATTCATATGTTCCCTACCTCGCAAAGATTATGCTCCTCAATACAACCTAAAAAACAACGAATGTCAAAAATCTAGTGTTTATCCCTAGAATTGAAAGGGTGGAACTATAAAACTGTTTCACAAACACTTTAGAGTGAGAGGAGACGAGGATCTGTCCGTACCCTGTTAAGATGACTTTAACGTCAATTTCCATCAAGGGACCCCAGCTAGCCCTTCTCTAAATATCAAGTACACCAAGGAACTCTAGTGTGTCGTTTCCAGCTGAACCTGGTGAAGTCCTTGTGTGTACCCGCCGACGCCAACAAAAGCGTGTTGTCGCAACACTGCGCAGGACTGTTGGCGAGCGGTGCCAAGGCCGACATGGAATTCGAGGTGGTCGACACCAACGAGGCGCAGCGATCGGACGGCGCGGCCGAGGCGGTGCAAGACGTCGAGGAGGAGAAATGCGTCGTCAAAGCGCATCGGGTTATTGTGGCCGCTAGGTGCGATTGGTTCCGGAGGGCGCTGTTGTCCGGCATGAGGGAGGCTATCGACAGGTTAGTTTGAATTATCATCGTTATTCTACTTCAAAACTCAGTAGGCGAGGTACATTATTGTCCGTTGTAACAAGCCCACCTTATTTAGAAAATAGGTGTTAGAATAGATTTAGAGCATTTATACAGTGAAACAAGGTTATACAGGGTAACTCACGGTCGATGGTAGGTTAGACGTTTATGGAGAACGCAACGCATGATTATTCTGAAAATTTCGCATTTTACATTTTACTAGCTGACCCGGCAAACGTTGTTTTGCCATAAACATTATTTCTAGAAAAAAATTTTGAGATAAATAATTATCAGAAAACTTTCATTATTTTATTTTTACTTCTTTTTAGTTTGTCAATCAATTAAAGCGGGATTCTTCAGTTTTTCAAACTACTCTATTTATTTTTTACTTCTTTTCAGTTCGGTACATACCTCTTTATTTTTTCAAACTACTATTTATTTTCTATTCACTTCTTTTCAGTTTGGATATCTAAAAATAGGTGTTTCATTAGTTTTACAAACTAATATTTATTACAATAGCTGACACCCGGCAAACGTTATTTTGCTACATACAATTATTCCTAGAAGCTATTTTTCTTGTTAATTATTTATCAACATACTTTTATTATTTTGATTTCTTGTTCTTCTTCGACCCCGAAAACAGCCAGATACAAATTTGGAATGGAATCGGGTCATAGTTACAAAACTCGTCCGCCATATTAAATCTGCCATCTTGGATTTCCAAATTTTGATGGAAGAATCATTATCTCCGACTCCGAAAACCCCCCGATACCAATTCTGCATAGAAACTGATCATAATTAAAAAAACTCGTCCGCCATATTGGATCCGCCATTCTGAATTTCCCCATTTTGACAAATGATTCATATCTCCGACCTCAAAAACTTCCAGATACCAAATTTGAATAGAATCTGACCATAATTACAAAACCCGTCCGCCATTTTGAATTTCCTAATTTTGATAAAAAAATCATAATCTCTGACTTCGAAAACCCCCAGATACCAATTTTGAATGGAATCTGACCATAATTACAAAACTTGTCTGCCATATTGGATCCGCCATCTTGAATTTCCAAAATTTGACGAAAGTATCATAATCTCCGACCCAAAAAACTCCCAAATACCAATTTTGAATGAAATCGGATAACAATACTTGTCCGTCATATTGGATCCGCCATCTTGAATTTTCGACCACTAACACCGTGACCGAGACAGGAGAATTTTATATATTAGATTACCTGTTCTATCGATCACACTTTCAATAAGAATTACTGAATTACTGGAATTACACCGAACTGTCATGAGTTTGATATTTCCATGGCTATCTAAAATTAACTTCTTCATAAAATTATATTCTTCACAAAAAATGGCTTTATTAATAAAACTTGATGATATAGGTATAGGGACATGCTATGTCATCTTGTAACATTTTTCTTCGTCCTTCAATTTATTGAGTAAAAAACAGAGGGTTCCATTTGAAAATAGTATATTATGTAACAAGTGTTATAAACGTCCATTTAGTAACGAGTATTTTAAGCACGAGCGGAGTAGAGCGGAGCGAGTGTTTGATAAACGAGTGTCTAGAAGAGTTTATGAACGCGTTACATACTATGCTTTTTCTACGAACTATGAAAATTACATTAACATACCTGCTATTCCTGCTAACCTACAAAATAATTCGAAAGGAATAGGAATTGAGAACATAATACATGCAACTGCTTTCAACCAGCGAGACACGTATAAGTGATATTGGTTGTAGATGTGTCCAGTCCATTGCTTACTAACCTTCGTTTCACGTTTATTGCCATGCTTAGCGCAGAATAAATAAATTGTTCTCAAAGATGGATGCTCCATTTTTATACTTCTTGGAGATATGCAAGTACCAAAACATTCTCTTCGATTTCACTTTCGTCTAGGTTTCGCATATATTTTTAATGAAGACTTCTGATACCAACGAATATTGTTTCAATAATTCTGATATAAAATTTGAAAATAACAGTTGACAGAGTTAATACAATTGACAGGCCAGACATGTCTCAAATTACTGAAGCTGTGTTCAATGAACTGTGTTGCCATGGTAATGTGTTTAAGAAATCGTGTTGCCATGGTAACGTGTTTAATATTTTGAATAAATCACAGATCGTCAATCCGTGATCAATCGATCATTTAGCGTGGTACATATCCGTACGCTAAAAGCCATTTTAGTTATGTGAGTAGAAAAAATGAACTTTTGACCACTTGTATGAACAACGAATATAATAATAATTTCAGCACGCCATGTATGATATGGAGGCGATTTCTCGGTGTGAATTGAATACACCAAGTTTGTCCAAACCACAACTAAAATATCAACACAAATATCAACAGTAAATTTTCTGAGAAAAAAAAAATTATTAGTGTGGAGATCAAGAATACAAAATGACAAATATTAGTCCTCTAGCCAATTGCGACGTTTTCTCCAATGACACCTTTATTCCTAGAAAAATCGATGTCTACGACACCAGCCCCCACTTGTTGAAAATTCTCTTGGAGTACCTGATCAGCGGCAGGCTGAATCGCAATATCCTGTCCACCAACAATTGTTGGAGTTTCAATAGTTGTTATTAGTTGCAAAATTTCGAACGTTTGAATGAGATTGGGACTTCATTTGTGCTATCGAAACCTTAAAGGCCGTGTCTCACGGTCCAACAATTTGATCGAAATTGTTTGATGTGACGTCATTCTTGCCTGTTTGACTCAAATGGTTTGAAATGTCAAGGAATCCTTGTCACACGATTTGAAGAAAAATATTGGTTAAGTAGGTTTTTGAAATGGGAGAAATCACAAGGAAAAATAAACTAAAAATTCATTACCTATGGTATATTGTACAGTTTGTAATACAGAGAGTGATTGAAAAATGGGGGAGATATGGAGAAAAAAATGGATTCAAAGAAGAAATATTTGTAGAGGAGTCCTACCTATGATTTTTTATGAAGTCAGACTGGAAGATCTCAATAGTTTCCAAAGCTGTACCTAAAAATGGATGAGAGATGTTTCAGCTTTCTATTAAATAAAATCAACCCATGTATTGAAAACACAAATTGAAATATGCGTGAATGTATACCTGCAGAAATGATGTGAGATGAGGACCTAGTCCCTAGTCATAATAGCACAAATTTGGGATTGGAACAAGAAGAATATTTCTTTAATTATCCAAAATGGTCCCCAGTCCAATTAACATCAGTACCAGCAGGCATTTTTGAAGTAATGATGATATTAATTATATCAGTTCTTATTAATTCCTAAGATAAAAAATAATAAGTATTTAATCAATGATGGAAACATGAAAAAAAAAACATCCTAACCTGATTGTTTTATCCAACATCTCATATATCTTCACAACACGTTCTAAATTTCAGCTGCTGTTTGACGTGACGTCATTGATGACATCACAGATATGTAGTTTGTTCAAATTGTTGGACCATGAGACATGGTCTTAACTCTTTGCGGCTCAGCGGTACCAGATATAGTACCACACACTAAGTGTACCACTGTAACAGTGGTTTGATGAGTTATTCACCTGATAGGACGCTTCACGAAGTTGCATAGAAGTGATCATAGCTGGCAGAGTCCTCTAAATTTGTTAGTAATTTCAATATGGCAACTGAATAACAACAAGCTGACAGAGTAAATCACTAAATACTCTACCTCTAGGACCAAATAATATCGAAATCGTTGTGCCGCAAAGAGTATATCAGTATGAAAAATAAAAAACATCTAGATCATTGCGACGTTTCTTCCAATGACACTGACGTTTATTCGCAGAAAAATCGTTGTCCACGACACCACTTGTTCTAAATCCTCTTGGAGTACCTGTACAGCGACAGGCTGGATCGTAACACCTTGTCCACCGAACAATTGGTAGAGTTTCAATAGTTAGAGTTGCAAATTTTGAACATTTGAATGAGACTGACACTTCATTTGTGCTATTGAAATCTTAAATCCATTTAGTAAATTTTTGAAAAATAATAAAATGGAAATCATAAGTGTGGAGACTAAAAGTTCTTGGAGTACCTAGACAGCGGCAGGCTGAATCGCAACACCCTGTCCACCGAACAATTGGTAGAGTTTTATTTATTTATCAATTTATTTGAAAAGATCACAAACAGGTTTATAAAACCGAATTGCATGTATCTTTCGACTTAATATAAATACCTACATAACTACATAACTGAATCCATAACCAAAAAAGAAAACATTTTCAAACAAGGAGAAATAGATGTACACTTATAATGAGTGAAGAGGCTGGAAAATACGATTGAAGGAATATTATGTTCTGAATTGCACCGTAATTTTTTTTATGTTCTGGTTCCCACGAAAAGGGATTTGCTTGGCGTATAGAATTTTTGAATGAAGTTAGATTCATATTGAAAAGATCAATATGTACTGATCTTTCCGAGAACTTATTATATAAAGCGCACATATTGTCAATCAAATTAGGAGGTTTGTTCTTGGGTTGTAGATTATTCTGGATAGTAACAAAATACTTTCTGTATCATGACTTATTAATTTGAAAACAAATATCAATCTCTGAATCACCCTTCTCATTTCTAACTTTGAATATTGAATTCTATCCGGAGTGTTTCATAGGATGCACGATCAGGACACCTTTGATATTTTTTGTAGTGTGAAAAAATTATGAATTTATTTTGTTCCGTTCCTAGATAGATGCAAATTCAAATGTGCTATGTATAAGTGTGAAATATAGCAGATATATGGTTTTGATATTTTTAACTTGATTGCACTGCGTGAAACATTGTTTATGTGTTTCTCAAACTTAAAGGGATTTTGAAATGTGATTCCTAAATCCTTGATGTCAGTGAGTTTTTCTAATCTTCTGTTATCTATCTAATAGTTAAATGTTCGAACATTATTGGTTGATTCACTGTTAGTAATACAGTAGCATTTGTCAACAGTGATGTGCAGCTTGTTGTCAACTGTCCAGGCGTATAAAACATGCAGGTCGTTCTAAACATATCATAGAGGTTGCGATTTTCTATTTTCCTGGATATTTTACAGTCATCAGCATACAATAAGCATTCCGAGGACAGTTGACTTGGAAGATTATTGATATATAAAAGGAATAGAAGACGACCCAGGTTTGAGCCTTGAGGTACACCAGATTTCGCCAGAAATATGTCAGAAGTGGCTCCACGATATGTAACAAACTGTGATCTGTTATTCGAATACCCTGACAGTAGTTTAACAAGCATATTGCTGAAACCATAATTCGATGTCGTGGTTAACTTTATCAAAAGCTTTGGCGAAATCTGTGTAAATGGTATCAAAAATGAAAAACATTAGTCCTCTGGTTTGTATTCACTTGATAGGACGCTTTACTAGGTTACATAGAAGTGATCATAGGTGGCAGAGTCCTCTAAATTTGTGAGAAATTTCAACATGGCAACTGGATAACAACAAGCTGATGGAGTAAATCACTAATTAAGTCTGCCTCTAGGACCAAATATAGAAATCGTTGTGCCGCAAAGAATTATTTCCATTCAGTAGATTTTCGAAAAATCAATAAATTGAAATCATTAGTGTAGAGATCAAGAATAAAAACTGAAAAACATCAGTCCTCTGGCCCATTGCGACGTTTTTAACAATAACACTGACGTCTATTCGCAGAAAAATCGTTGTCCACGATACCAGCCCCCACTTGTTCAAAATCCTCTTGGAGTACCTGTACAGCGGCAGGCTGGATCGCAACACCCTGTCCACCGAACAATTGGTGGAGTTGCTTCTGCTCGGCGACAGATACGAAATGGATTCGCTGAAGCAAACTTGCGAATATATGCTGGTGCGCAGCATCGATTCCGAAGTGGTGCTGTATTTGTTGAGCGTGGCCGATCAGTACAATGCGAGGATATTGAAGGTTGGTAGGATAGAATTAGCAGAGTGGAATATTTAGTGACATTTCGTAACACGACTTCAATGACCTCATAATCTATCAGGAAAGAACAACTATACCTCGGTACAAACCTCATGGTTTTCGAGATATTGGAATTTCAATTTGAAAAACATTGAATTCCTATCTTAGATCACTCTTTTATTTCCAAGCATATAAGGAGCGTTTCATGTTTATTATTATTTCCGATAAATAGAATAGTAAAGACTTTATTTTCTTACTGGACAGTAGTTGTATCAATCACAGAAATCAGATTTTCGATTTCAGTAATTGACGATATAAAAAAATATTTCGACAATGTCAGGAGACTGGTTAAATCTAAATTTGAATGAAACAAAATTCATGACTTCCTGTTATAATGATTCACAACATATACAGGGTGTTCCAAAAAAACCTGACCCCCTCACTAGGGTAGGTAGAACACTGCCAAATAAGTTGGGTTCACTCAGCAAAAAAAATTCGTAACGGCATCCGTTATCAAGATACAAGGTGTTGAGAAAATAAATGTTTTACACATTTTTTAAGATTATGTCGAAACTACTGGCAACATTGTTATGAAATTTTGTATGAATGTTTCTTGGAATCTGACACATCGCATGCGTTTGTTTTAATATCTGACTCTCATACAGGGCGCTAGTTACACGGTTCTTACCGAGTCGTTTGGAACATAACTTTTTTGAGGATAGATTTTTCAATCCACCTTTGATGTGAACTTGAAAATCTTTCAATTTCACACCAAACAAAACGGTATCCTTAGTAGAACTCGATACTGTGTTCCGTTTTCGGAATATTTCGATTTGAAAATGATGAAGTGATAACTGTTGCTGGTATAAAGTTATGCATTAGAGTGAGTATTGAACAGAAAGTATATGCTCTGTATCTCTTAATTTTCTACTTATGATTCTATGTTCCATCAATAACTTCAGCACAAGAATAATTTTATTGTTTTTGAATCTGAATAAATAGGTAATTGAACTCAATAGAATTCATTTTATACTAGCATCATTACTACTCCATTATTTTCAAATCGAAATATTCCGAAAACGGAGCATAGTATCGAGTTTCACCAGAAGTGCCTTTTTGGTGTAAAATTGAATGATGTTCAAGTTCATATCATATTTGGATTGAAAAATCTAACCTTAAAAAAGTTATGTTCTAATCTACTCCGTACGAATCATGTAACTAGCGCTCTCTACGAGAGTCAGATATTGAAACAAATTCATGCGATGTGTCATATTTCAAGAAACATTCATACAAAATTTCATTACAATGTTGCCAGTAGTTTCGACATAATCGTGAAAAATGTGTAAAAAAAATCATTTTTTCAACACCTTGTATCATGAAAACGGATGCCCTTACGACATTTTTTCACTGAGCAAATCCAATTTATTTTGCAGTGTTCTACATATCCTAGAAAGGGGGTCAGGTTTTTTTGAAACACCCTGTATAACATAATTGAAATTCATGATCAGAGTTGCTCTGAAAATGTATTCAAAATACCAGTAGCTTGCTCGTGTATTAATAAAACATCTAGAGGGAATACAATCGAATATCTTGGTATTACATTGATCAGAACTTGAAGTGGGATCTATAATGTCCTATAGAATAATTCAATGGGGTGGTATGTACAAAACTCTTCTGAAACCTTTGTTATGTCTTCAAAAACATGTTTTGAAAATAATATCCCCTAAACCATTTGATTATCCATCATTGTTGTTAAAAATTATTATATTGAATGTTAGGCAATTATTCTATAAAGCGTCAATAATCTTTAATAGAAAGATTCCGGCAATAACAAGTGAAATCGATCATGATACAAAAAACAAAATCAAGATTGTACGACTTAAAAAACATGAGCTTAAAATTTTGGAAAAACATTCTAATTTTATTGGATCTAAATTTCATAATAGCAAGCTCAAATCTTCAACGACAGCTAAGTAGTTCTTTCCGACCTAGTCTGGAAAACAGTCACTTTCCAGATCAGTCCAAAATAGTGCACCGAAAGTACCAGGAAGTGGGTATACTCTCCGGATGGTTGCCGAAATAGTAATTTACATATCAAGTCCGGTTTCGTATATCTGCACTTTTCATTTTTCAGGCAATAATTGTGCTGTAGCAGCAGCTATTGCATTGGAAATTCCGTAAGGCTCATTTTCAACCTCACTAATTTATTGCGATAATTAGGCAATCCAACGAGGCTGGTTGGCTCCATATATAAAATCAGTAGAATGGTGTTACTTAAACAATTAGATAGTTACTGTTTGTGATTTTTTGTGATTATATCACCTGTACTTCTGATGCCAACAGGAATTCTTGTATAAAAACGATTCATCATACATAAATAATTTCATTGTGTGCCAACCAGCTCATAGTTTGACAGGTCATTGAATTGCCTGATTGCAAACAAAAACCATGCAAACTTTCAAAAATCAAAATGTCAACTGATTTCACATCAGATAACTGTCTATCGTTATTTCGCTGCTATGGTAATGATCAACTGCATTTATCAAAACCATACCTACCAAGATTGTATTATTTACAATGACGATGAGATTCTTTTCGGCCTAGTCCGGGAAATATACCGGGTGAGACGGAACCAATTTACCCCCCTGTATCTTCGTTGTTATTTTGTATGGATGTTTCAAATTCGGTACTTCGATTTGATGTTATGAATGTACAATTTAGCAAGTATCAATCCAAATATGTCACTTCCGGTTTGACCGGAAGCGCATCCAATTTTTATATTTCGAATAGAAAGTATTATTTTTTTTTGAAGATTACAATTCGGTATAGAATTACCTTTACAATGACATATCACAATCATTCTTTCAATTCAGAATCTGCTGGTATAATTGACATTTTATAAAAAAAATACTTTTTGTGTTCCCCTCGTAACGGAACATTTTCATGAAAGTATGCTGTAGAAGATTGAACTATATCATGTAAGCAACAATAATTCAATCTTCCACAGCATACTTTCATGAAAATGTTCCGTTACGAGGGGAACACAAAAAGTATTTTTTTTATAAAATGTCTATTATATCAGCAGATTGTGAATTGGAAGTATGATTGTGATATGTCATTGTAAAGGTAATTCAATACCGAATTGTAATTTTCAAAAAAAATAATACTTCCTATTCGAAATATAAAAATTGGATGCGCTTCCGGTCAAACCGGAAGTGACATATTTGGATTGATACATGCTAAATTGTACATTCTCAACATCAAATCGAAGTATCGAATTTGAAACATCCATACAAAATAACAACGAAGATACAGGGGGGTAAATTGGTTCCGGGTCACCCGGTATACTTTCGGAAAAATGCTATCTTCTCAAAGAAAAATCGTTGGGGAAGTGAGTAGGTACTTTCAGGAGGGTTTCCAAAACAAATATTTCATTGTCGAGTATTTCCAAATTCTCTGAGCCGTTGTTTGAGCTTCATATCCCAATGCCACGAGCTCACCGAGAGCGAAGAATTCATCGATCTTCCCATTACCCTGCAAGTCCAAATCTTCAACGACTACATCTGAGACGAACTCACCGGCAGGGCTTCAGATTTCGATTCCAGCTTGGAGAATACTCATTTCCCGGACAATGCCAGAAAAGTGCTACTTTCTCAAATATAATTCGTCCAGGAAGTGGGCATTTTCCGAAAAAAAAATCATCGATTTTCCATTCACCCTGCAAGCCCAAATCTTCAACGACTACATCTGGGGCGAACCCACCGACATGGCTTCAGATTTCGATTCCAGCTTGGAGAATACTCACCTCCCGGATTATGCCTGAAAAGTGCTACTTTCCCAAAGATAATTCGTCCAGGGAATGGGCATTTTCCAAAAATGGCTCCATATCCCAACACCACGAGCTAACCGAGAGTGAAGAATTCATCGATCTTCTCATCACCCTGCAAGTCCAAATTTTCAACGACTTCATCTAGGACCAACCCACCATTAGGACTTCAGATTTCGATTTTAGGTTGGAGAATACTCACTGCCCGGATAATGCCAGAAAAGTGTTACTTTTCCGAAACATAATTCGACCAGGAAGTTGGCATTTTCGGAAAAAATATTCCATCTCAGTTTTTCCAAATTCACAGAGCCCTTGGTTGAACTTAATATCCCAAAACCACAAACTCACCGAGAGCGAAGAATTCATCGATCTTCCCATCACCCTGCAAGCCCAAATCTTCAAGGAATACATCTGGGGCTAACCCACCGACATGGCTTCAGATTTCGATTACAGCTTGGAGAATACTCACTTCCCAGAAAATGCCAGGAAAGTGCAACTTTCTGAAAGATAATTCATCCAGGAAGTGGGCATTTCAAGAAAAACAAAAATTTCATCTCTACTTTTCCAAATTCTCAGAGCCGCTGTTCGAGGTTCATATCCCAACACCACGAGCTTACTGTGAGCGAAGAATTCATCGATCTTCTCATCACTCTGCAAGCCCAAATCTTCAACCAATACTCACTTCCCGGATTATGCCTGAAAAGTACTACTTTTGAAAAGGAATATTCTCAGATAAATTATGAACATACAAAAATGGATATATATTCATATAAAGCAATACATTGAGAATTCGCATTCTCTATGAGATGAAAATATCCACTCTTTTTCATTTTATTCAATAGACAACAACTACTTTCCTGGCTATATGTCACGACGAACATTGAATTATATCTATTGAACACACAGGATAAGAGTTTGAAAATAAAATATAAAAAAATATTCTGAAATTGAGAATTTGCATTCTCCTTCAGATAAAAATATGTATATTATGCACACATCATTCTGAATATTCAACAGAAAACAACTACATTCCTGGCTATTTGCCACGTCGAACATTGAATTATATCTAATGAACATTCAAAAGGAGAACATGAAAAGTAAAAAATAAAATCCTCCGAAATTGAGAATTGACATTCTCCTTCAAATCGGATGAATAATATGATGTATAATGATATAGAAATATAACTTACCAATATATTCAGCATTGAAATGAAAATTGGAATAGGAGAAGTATACTGGCATAAACTCTGATCTTGATGAGCTTGAAAACTTCCAAAAATAATCATTCATATCAGTGATATGGGAAATATTATCTCTCACACACAGGTTATATGACTTTATTGCAATGAAACCATTTCGGATTTCTGAATCTTCATCAGTAACCATGATGTCCACATATTCTTACAGCCATTCTTCATGATATACACAATTTTCATCTCTCTATAATACAACTAAAACCGATTAAAACTAACAAAATGACATCTGAGAAAATTGTTGACATTCTATTCCTGTCTTTTTTTATTTTTCATGTTCTCCTTTTGAATGTTCATTAGATATAATTCAATGTTCGTCGTGGCATATAGCCAGGAAAGTAGTTGTTTTCTATTGAATAAAATGAAAAAGAGTAGATATTCTCATCACATAGAGAATGCGAATTCTCAATGTATTGCTTTATATGAATATATATCCATTTTTGTATGTTCATGATTTATCTGAGAATATTCCTTTTCAACACTTTCATACCCAATCAGGGGGTTCAAACTTGAACGATGGAAACTCATGATTCTCATAGACCTCTAATCGCAGATTCGTGATAGAGTCTCAATTCAGAATTTCTTTCCACGCCCTGTATGATGAATGTTAATTTATCATACACCCAGAAGCCAAGTACTACTTTCGCAAAAAAATACGTCCAGGAAATGGGCATTTTACAAAAAAAATTCATCTTTCCTTCTTTCCAAATTCTCAATGCCGTTGTTTGGGCTTCATATCCCAACACCGAGAAGCGAATTTACTAAATATACTGTACGCTAGCACAAACCACGCCCACCGTAATATCTCATCTTCGAAGTACTTAGGCAAAACTCAGAGACTATTTATCCTTAACGAACTAACCTATCCCTGATTGCAATATTTTTGAGGAAGGAAAATCGAATGGAGTGTAGAAACACATTGATTAATAATATATTTCAAAAGTTGAGTTCTTCAACAAAATTGAATAAAATGAAACTGTTTATCCTAAACGCACTAACCTATTTGACTTCAAATATTTTATGAAAAAGGAAAACCAGAATGAAGTAAAAAAACATTGGTGAAAAAAAAAGTTGCAAAAAAAGTTCAAGTTCACAGCGATTCGAATCATGGACCTTCAGACTGAAAGTCGACAGCGCTAACCAGTAGACCATTTGGGTGTATGAATTTATTGCGTACAAGAGATTGACAACGAGAGAGCTTCAGTGGAATTCGTGTCAAAATCATAAAAAAGTGTATTCTTGCGTTGGAGCACAGTATATTTAGTGCGATGTGCTGACTCCGGAGTATATCGGTAATGTTTGGAGATATGACGTATTATGGTGGGCGTGGTTTGTGCTAGCGTGCAGTATATTTAGTAAAATCGCCACCGAGAATACATATTTTCGTATGCTTTAAAATAGTTTTGTATTACTTACTTATTAACCTTCCCAAAATTATAAAAATAAGGAATAAATAATAAGGCTCGGTGCCCAAAATGCAATTTTTATAATGAGGACATTTTGGGTCGGTGCCCAAAATGCATGTTGAATTAGTCCATTTATTGCCTTGGTGCCCAAAATGCAAACTTTTCGGTTCCAGATTGGAGAATACTCACTTCCCGAATAATGCCAAAAAACTTCCCATCACCCTGCAAGCCCAAATCTTCAACGACTACATCTGGGGCCAACCCACCGGCAGGGCTTCAGATTTCGATTTCAGCTTGGAGAATACTCACTTCCCAGATTATTCTTGAAAAGTGCTACTTTCCCAAAGATAATTCGTCCAGGAAATGGGCAACTATTTGTTAGGTTACCTTTGATAAGCATAGCACTGGCCATCCCTGCCACATCCACAATATGATAACAGTTTCACCAAACAAAATTATGAAATTCTTTCTGTTTCCAACTCGGATTCCAAGGAAAACTATCCCACTAATTCTGGTTTTATATGACAAATTTTGACAAAATACAATGTTTGCCCCTCAGCAACCTGTCAAATGACGTAATTCTAGAATGATTAATATAATTAGTTCAGAAAGTGGACATTGTTAAAAAAAATCATATTTCCATCCATTTCTCCAAATTCTCAGAGCCGTTGTTTGAGCTTCATATCCCGACACCACGAGCTCACCGAAAGCGAAGAATTCATCGATCTTCCCATCACCCTGCAAGCCCAAATCTTCAACGACTACATCTGGGGCCAACCCACCGGCAGTGCTTTAGATTTCGATTTCAGCTTGGAGCATCTGCTGCCGACGTCTTCCGATACCAGTCCCGGCGTGAATGAGGTGTCCAGAGGGTTGGAATCGATGCTGCTGGTGCCTGATGTGAGTGACGGTTTTTATTTATGCGGTATGAGTAGATAGTTACCTCTCTTTCTCCTTGAAAATCCACATAGCACACCAACGGCAAATTTAGCAAACAGTTCTGTTATCCCAAACTAAACTACTCAACACTAATTTCGTCGCACACCAAAATGTCGCCCCTGTTATAATGTGAATAACTTTTTTCAGTTCAGAACAATTTGAATTTGGTTTACACTGTTCGATAGCCCAGTCCTTCAGCTATAATCTGGTACTTCATTGAAACATGAGGGTATTCAAATAAAATCTCTACATGGTGTTTTCCGACACTGTGCAAAATTTCGGAATATTCAAAAGGCTCTCAAATGGTGAAACAAATTTTTTTCTCAACTTCGACAACAGAGGCATGAAGATGATCTCATTACCTCGAGATATTTCGCGAATCAACTTCCTATCTCTCTTATTTACAGAGTGATCTCAAAAAATCAACTTTTTGGTTTTGCAGCCATAACTTTTTTCCACGTCATCCGATTTTGGAAATCTGAGGCTCATTTTGAAGATAAAACTTCAGATGAAGAGATCTGAATATCAGAATTGACTCAAGATGACTATCAAAGATCTAGAGTTTTCTTGAAAGTGACCCAAATCTGGAACGCCCTCCGAATCTCGGTTGGGAGGAAAATTGAATGAAAATCAACTTGTTCTCGGAAAAACAATTCATTCTGGATGCGTCCATATTTTCCTCGCTCTCAGTAGTCAAGAATTGTGCGTGAGAAAACACAATTAGAACATGTTCTTGCAAAAACATCAGACCATTTCTCCTCTGTAATGCATGGCCCGTAACCAACGTTACAAGAATCACAGTAAGTGACTGACAAGTCAGGTTAAACGTCGTTTTCGAATCTTAAACAGATTTTGATAGTTTCGATGCCGCATCTAACGCCCGACCAGTTGGAACTGATTCCACAAATGAGGGAACAAGGGTTATCTTCCCTCCAAATCGCGGATCTGCTAAACACGACAGTCCGATCCATTCAAAGGGCTTATCTCCGACACGAATTGTTTGGTTATTACTGTCGATTCGTTCGGCGCATTATTGCGACTGAAAACTTTACGTAATTGGCAAACTGTTTTCGTGAAACTTTTACCATTTTTGAAATGCGTTTTTACAACAACTTGAATACTTCTCCATATTCTTAAATCGCATGTTATGTACGTGACAACTGTTAAAAAAATCACTTTATTGAAAAAATCAATATCCGTTGGTCTTGTTGGTACACCATTTATGATGCGCATCAGTTGGTCGGGTTTGTCAGTCACTCATTGTGATTCTTGTAACGTTGGTTACGGCGGGCCATGCATTACAGAGGAGAAATGATCTAATGTTTTTGCAAGAACATGTTTCAATTGTGTTTTCTCATGCACAATTCTTGACTACTGAAAGCGAGGAAAATATGAACGCATCCAGAATGAATTGTTTTTCCGAGAACAAGTTGATTTTCATTCAATTCTCCTCCCAACCAAGATTCGAAGGGCGTTCCAGATTTGGGTCACTTTCAAGAAAACTCTAGATCTTTGATAGCCATCTTGAGTTAATTCTGATATTCAGATCTCTTCATCTGAAGTTTTATTTTCAAAATGAGCCTAAGATTAACAAAATCGGTTGACGTGGAATAAAGTTATGGCTTCAAAACCAAAAAGTTGAATTTTTGAGATCACTCTGTAAATAAGAGAGATAGGAAGTTGATTCGCGAAATATCTCGAGGTAATGAGATCATCTTCATGCCTCTGCTGTCGAAGTTGAGAAACAATTTTTTTTTCAGTATTTGAGAGCCTTTTGTATATTCCGAAATTTTGCACAGTGTCGGAAAACACCATGTAGAGATTTTATTTGAATACCCTTATGTTTCAATGAAGTACCAGATTATAGCTGAAGAACTGGGCTATCGAACAGTGCAAACCAAATTCAAATTGTTCTAAACTGAAAAAAGTTATTCACATTATAACAGGGGCGACATTTTGGTGTGCGACGAAATTAGTGTTGAGTAGTTTAGTTCCTATAAAACGGAACCACATGATCTGTGGAATACGAAAAAGTCCTGAGAAAACACGATCACTTCTTTGTCACTGCGCATGCTTCTGATGGTTTTGGAATGTTAATTTTGTGAACGCGAACAAAATCATTGTGTATCTGGATTAGTTTTTATCATGAAACTTTTGTTTTTCTGATGGCCGTCATATTTGCTTTTCATACTATTGAATAGGGCTACAAATTTTCTTCACAGTCATATAGTCGTGGAAATACACCAAGGCAAAAATCTGTTTCTTTTTATTCATTGCAAGCTGAATGAGACAAAAAATCACTAGAAAAAGGAACGTTGGAACTTGATTCATATATTTTGATCATTGAATTGTCACTGTGACTCAATGTCAAACAATTAGAGTACTGGTTATACATCATTAATATTTCGAATTCCCTATATCATGATGGTGAAACGATTCAATGATCAATTTAAATCATTGATTCTGAGTGTGATCGCGTATTTTGTAAAACACGATGATTTCTGCCAAGTTCAAAGAAAGCATGTTGTCAGCATTGCCGTGGAAGCTCTGAATATTTCAGAAAGGAGTATTTATCGGATCAAGAATTCGCAAACAAACTCTAATGCTGTTTATGCAGAAAGAGTTTCGGAAAAGGCCGAAGAAATAAAAAAAAGGTTAATCCCACAATTTTACAGGCTCAATAAAATCGCTCTATAAGCGTTTCACTGAAGAATGGTCTGATTTTCCTTGTTCACCAAGATCCGTGAATACCTGGATTCGCAAAATTGGATTCAAATTCAAGAGGAGCAACAATAGGTAGTTTCTTGTAGAACAACCATCAATTGCAGGCAAGCGTACGTCATTCCAAAAAAAAAATATCATCTAGATATTTACGCATCAGAACATGGTCTCAATATTTTGAGATTACCACCTCACCATTGCCAATATAATGCCATAGAAATGGTGTGGTCAGAGGCTAAAAGGATTTATGACGCCGAAATCATCAAAACTAAATCATCCCCGGGAGATGTGATAATGGTCTGGTCAAAGGCTTTAGAAGCTGTGGGTGTGGAGCATTGGAGAAATTATGTACGACACACAGAAAAAGTGATATTTTCGGCATGGGAGACGGAGAAATGCATAGGTGCTTCCAATATTGAACCTGTCGTGATAACTTTCAATTCAGATGAGAGCGTTACCTCATCGGAGGAAGGGTCAATGCGTTCAAATGAAAATGTTTGTTTTTGAAAAATGTTACTTAATGAAAAATTCATATCAAATTAAGTTGATGTTGACGAGGAATTATTATTCGAAATATAATTCATGTGAGTTATACTACTTACTTACTTTCTTGCGTTACCATGATTATCATGATTGTCAAAATCTGGAATACTTAAGAATACACATGCGCAGGGTAACCACAAATTCTATAGGCTTTTGTTTTGTGACTTGGTGTATTTCCACGACTTTAACATTATTTTTTTTCTCGAAAAATAACCAATTAACTAAGAAGGGCGAAATAAGAAGGCGGATTTAAGAATTTTTCTTTTCGTGAAATAACTATGAAGATTGGTTTGTTCACATCATCATTATTATAAAATTCGTTGTACGAAGAGAAATTCTCGAAAAAATTATAGTCCTCTGTCAATTGTACAGGGTGGCCAACTAAGACTCCAGAGTTCGATTTCTCTGTTGTCTTGAGAGATACAAAAAAAATTCATGAATCAAAATTGAAGTAATAACCGAGCTTCACATTTCAAAATTTCTTTGAAATACACAGGGTGTTCCGTAAAATCACAGCACATCAAAGCTATGTTTTTTTCATTGGAACACCCTATGTTTTATTTCAGTTTTGAATTTTCCCTGAAGATCTGATTTCAACGACCCATTATACTTAGGGTCTAGCAGTGAAAGTTACTGACATATAGGGTGTGCAAAATCGAGATTTTCTAAGTTCAGGATTTTTTTCTGTCGAAACTGTTCATTATTCGTCAAAACGGTTCACATGTCCCTAGCTCAACTTTTCACTCACTATCAATTGGTGTTCAATTGAAATCGATACAAGGTGATCAAAAATCTACATTTATAATTTGTTTCAATTGAATGTCAATTGAACACCAATTGATAGTGAGTGAAAAGTTGAGATAGGGACATGTGAACCGTTTTGACGAATAATGAACAGATTCGACAGAAAAAAATCCTGAACTTGTAAAATCTCGATTTTGCACACCCTATATGTCAGTAACTTTCACTGCTAGACCCTGAGTATGATGGGTCGTTGAAATCAGATCTTCAGGGAGAATTCAAAAATAAAATAAAATATAGGGTGTTCATATGAAACAAACATAAATTTGATATGCTGTTACCTCATGGAACACCCTGTATATTCCAAAATAATTTTGAAATGTGCAGCTCGGTTATTACTTCAATTTTGATACATTACTTTTTTTTGTATCTCTCAAGACAACAGAGAAATCGAACTCTGGAGTCTTAGTTGGCCACCCTGTACATTATGATAAGTGCATGCAAATTAGCCGTAAATTACATAACCTATTTTCCCCATGTATGTATTCGAACGTTTATTACAGCCGGATCAGTCTAATAGTTCTCTAGACGATTTCCATCATGCCGACCAAACCTCCTCTCGAATGGACAACTGTATATCCCAACTCAGGGATATCGTTGGTGAGACTGCTTCTCGAAATCTGCTCGTACAAGTCATTTTGGCGGCGGACTTCGACTTGAGAAGGGCCGTCAATTATTATTACGCACGCACCAACGAAGATGAGTAGAAACATATTGGGACTGATGTGGCCCTAACGGTTGTTGAATTCACAACTTGATGCATATCAGCATGCAAGAAATTGTTTAGTAGAAACTATATCCTTACAAAATTCTACTTATGTACCTACTTTGGGCCTGCCATGCAAAGATCTAATGATATACCGGGTGTCCCAACTCTATTTATACACGCGATTTCTCGAAAACTGGTAATACTATCATTGTTCTGAAACATTTGGATTGAATGAGAAAGTGTATTGCACAAAAATTCGTCATTAAAACTACCCCTCGATGAACCACCCCTTAGCTCATTCCACTAACTTCTTCTTTTCGAATTACACCCAGGAGTTTTGTCCACCATTATCATGAATCTAAAGGTGGAATCACACGACTGATCTCAACACTAGACATCTCAATAACGATGGTCAGCACAATCCCCAGATTTGTCCCACTCAGATTATTTTCTATGGGATCATTCAATATAAGAAGTGTAGGCCTTGTACGTAGACCAACAATATCGCTGAGCTACAAAACAACATAATCCGAGCAGGCCACGATTTTAGACTGTAGATTGTAGGTGGGTGGTATAGGTTGGGAGACCTCTCGATCACTGCGACCTAGAAGATCTGTTGTGATTACCCGTATAATTTCAGTCCTCTAATCCTAGACTTTCAATGAAGCCTAGAGTTTTTCTGATGGTTGAATTTTCCACCTCAGCAGGCGTCAGCTAGACCTGTTCTAGGTGATTCAGCCATTGGCGGACTGATAACATTACATGCGCAAAGTATGTGTGTCGCGGTTTCTGTCGCGTTGTTGCAAAAGCGGCAAGTATCAGTCTCCGCTAGGCCCATCTTTTCGAGGTGGCATCTCAGAGGGCAGTGTCCTGTGAGAAAGCCTGTGATAAGTTTGAGCTCTGGTTTGCTGAGGCTTTGGCTCGGTTTTGCGAATGGTTGATGAACCATTTAGTTTGTCGTTGACCTCGAGTTGCTATCTAGTAGGAGGACTCATCAATTTCTTCCCATTTCCTGAGATCTATCATAAGGTGACAGTTGCTTGTCCCATAGAAAAACTCACGATCAAAGAATGCAGACTCTGCACCGAAATTACAGGGAATTACATCAGCTTATACAAGGGACGTTACGCGAAGGTGTGAAATGTATACCAAGTGTATTAGATTACTATGTTCATAAGCTTACAAGTTATTCAAATATATGACAAGAATAAGAGGATGTGATTTGAAAAGTGGTGTGTGCAAAGGGTTGATTTGTCGGGGGATTGCACGAATCTTTGGCATGATAATACACTACACTGTTTTACCACTAACCAAATGAATTTTTTAACATCTCGACACGTGTTTCGCTAACTATGTTAGCATCTTCAGGAGAAGATTAAAACTAAATATCCTATTTTATTGTGCTAATTATATACTAGGTATATGTCCACCCAACCGTGAAGGACACTAACCATTGTGCTAATTATATACTAGGTATATGTCCACCCAACCGTGAAGGACACTAACCGCCAAGTTAATGTTTGTCATGGTTGAGTTCACATGTTCACATTAATCTTATTTCCCTAAACTTTACAGAGGGCTATATGAAATAGGTCCATTGTGTTTATTCATTACTCTATCACTATTCTTGAATATCTCTAGGCTTAGAGTGTAAACTCCAAGTCCAAGCGCTGTAACAGCCGTTCACTTTCTCGCATATTAGCAAACTGCAAACTACATGAGATTTTCAATAAATCGGAATCTCTTTCAATTTGTGAAGAAATAGGTAGAAAATAAATTATCTGCCAAATCCGACGAAGATTGCTACTTTTTGCAAAGCACGCAAATTTGGTCAATTTTTAACTTGCTCTGGCTCCTCACTCGTCAGTCCTACATCAATGTGCAAGGACAAATATTTATAGAAAATTTCACCTGCTTTCATTTTCTATTAGATGGCCTTCTCGATGAAATGTATAGTTCCCAAGTTATGGGCAAAAAACTGGAAAAAGTGCGAAAATGTCGCTGTTTTTTGCGAATATCTCGGAACACTTCAGGAAATTTTGTTTGCAAACTCCAGATTCGGATTCAGCACCGCCAAAGCATATAAAAACGTAGAAAAACCGACTACTTGAATTTCTTCCACGAGAAAATTCTCATCCTTACCGTTTTACAGAGCTATTAGATGAATCCAGAATGAGACAAATTATTTCTGCAATGAATACTTTCCATATCTTTTGTACCTTTGTATGGACATGTGTAGGTATATGAAAATACCTTGTCAGTTATCGATGAATTTCAAATATCGTATTTTAAATACATCAAATTAAAAAAAATGCATTCAGTGATACGGTACTGTTTGGGTTTCCGTGAAAAATATGTTTGCACTAGTTCAATGAAAGGGTACAGAATAACTCATACCATCTCCTATCAAAAAGGATTTATGTCTCATATCATTTCGACTAGTGTGTTCTCACTCTCTGAAATGCATTAAGCGTTCAGGTTAGCCGCGTGGTTGAAGCGTCAGTATTCTACTGGAAGTGTTTAGGATCACACGTTAAAAGCTTATGCCCCCAGCATTCCTTGTTCGCACAAGTCTCTCGAAGACTTCTGAGGGTTGTTCGTCAGTCAAGGGGCAACCAAATGACGGATAAGAACAATTTTAGAACAATTTTTTGTTCGATCTAGAGGCATTCTAGATCTGCCCTCGCATCACTGTCCTCTACAAACCATTGAAAGTCATTAGAGAAAGAGAAAGGAACATCACTATAGCTACATGTGCAACAGAGACGAACATATTTTTACCCAACCATCAGCTGGTAGCTGCTCGTTGCTGCCTCTAAATTTTGTTCTAAAATTTGTTCTATCCGTCATTCGGTTGCCCCCTTACGAGCAACCCTCAAAAGTCTTCGAAAGTCTTGTGCGAGCAAGGAATGACGGGGGCCTTACCTTTTAACGTGTGATCCCAAACACTTTCTTGGGCCATCAGAAAAATTTCTGCAGTCGACGGGGATCGAACCCACGACCGGCAAGCGAATGCGAATTAGAATATAGACACTCTGTCCGCACGGCTACCTGGCCACTCCATTGTTTCAATGATTCAATCTTCCATTAGACGCGATAAATATTTGATTTGAAATGTCAACGTGTCTAATTAATTATCAATCAAATAAAAACAAAGAAATAAGCCTCTTGCTTATATTAAAAATTCAAATCGAATGAAAATAACTTGCAATATCAAGACCATCGGCTGATTTCTTTGCGCCTTGCATCTCTCTTTAAAGTTTTCGTATATTCCTCCCTCTCTATCTACGCACTATCTAGGAGTTCAATATTATTATATCAGTGCTGTCCTGGTCTAATGTGGTTCTTGATTTTATGTCTGTTAACGAAGAAGTGTCCAGAGGTTAACCAATCGGTAGTGGTAAAACAGTTTTATACAATAAATGTAAAATTTGGCTTATTTTGTAATTTCTCGTAACTTGATCTTGAATACCTCAAATGTTACCAGGCTGAACCGTTTCTCTTGCTATTTGATGAGAAAGTACTTTTTTGTACTGAATACATCAAACGCATAAACATGTTGTTGATATTGTCTTATAAAGAAGAATTGTAATTAATTACTAGACTTGACCTACTGATCTTTAATTATGAGATAAAAAATAATATAAATGTCGATTTTTAAACATAAGTACCTATATTATAAATCATGGCTTTTAAAGGCACACTCAAAATATTTTTGGTGCTAATTGAATTTTCGGTAGCCCTATTTTCCTTCTAGTTTTCGAATTCAGAAAATGTTTGTGATAACTTGATTTTGCCTGATACTGATAATTGTGTGATATATGTATAAGATTAATTATATCGTTTTCCTAATTGTAAGTTGTTGTTCATGTTGTATAATGATTCTCTTGTTTTTAATGCGAAGTAATATTTCCATTTGCTATTTCATCTCTTTGGTTTTTATAAATAATCTCTTATACCTTGTAGGGTCAATTTTTTTCCTTTTAGGGTCCAACCGTTTTCAAAAAAGTAATTTTGAAAATTATCTAAAAAAATATAAGAAATCAGGTAGGTGAGCATTTAGATCTCTAGAATAATTATGAAATTATTTCGTAAATAGCACAACATTTGATTATTATAATCATAGATTTCGATCCCTCGAAGATTCATCCTTATTTCACAGATTATTTTCATCAATCTAAATTTCTTGGCGACCGAAATGCAGCAGAAATTGATTAATTTTCTTATTTTTGTTCATAAAATATTGTGAAATAACTCGAGGTTAATCGAGAAGGTGGAACATCAATTTCTCTAAATTTTCTGGGTTTTTTCTCGTTTCTATAAATAAAAATCTGAGTGTTATTTCAATACATTTGTAGCAAAAATATTAGCAGACATACAAAGTGCGCGCGTAAAGAATGGAAACGTGCAGGATATCTTTGACACCCTGTACGATACAATCACAAAAAAATTGTCATGTATATTAGATGGACCAGCGATTTCAAATCGATTGATTGATTGTCTTTATTATCCCAAGAAACATACTTGTTTATGATAAGGATACATAAACCATAAACATAATTTGTTAGTATACATACAAGTATGAAATGATAATAATAATAAAAATAATGAAAATGATAAAAATAATATTTATTATTTTTTTAAATTAATGTTCGATATTGGCCATCAACAGTTCGTATGCTACATTGGCAATGAAAGAACTGTAACAGAACATTTTAAAATATACGGGTTGTTCAATTCGATAATAAATATATTGTTAGTATAAAACAAACTGACCAGATAAAATATCTTGGAATTTGGTTTGATGACAGGTTGAAGTGGGACAAACATATTGATGTTCTGTAAAAAAAAATATCTCCAATTACTGGTGCATTGAGAAGATGTCCCAAACTTGATATTAAAATTGCAAACATGATTCTCTACTCTCATATACTGAGTCGTATCAACTATTTGATAAATGTTTGGGGAACTTGTTCAAAGAACAATTTCAACAAAATATCAACATTATATAGAAAATTGTTGAAAGTATTGTATCGTCTCCCATTTGATACACCAACCAATCAATTGTTTGAAATAACAAATACGTATTCTTCAGATGAAATATATATAGAATTGAAACTCTTAAAATATCATATAATATCATAAATAAACAATTGAAGTCGAATTTCAAAGAAAAAACAAAATACACAAAGTCGGTCGACCACAAATTATAATATATATATAATTTGTGGTCGACCGACTTTGTGTATTTTGTTTTTTCTTTGAAAAAATCTGGACCACTTTGAGAAGGATGGATGGTTTCCATGACGAAGTCGAATTTTATGTTGATACGGAATTCTGAAATTCATAATCATGAAACAAGACAATATAACTTGTTTCATCTTGACGCCGCTAGCTCCATTATCGGATTCACTCATTCAGCCTAACTGAATTCAATAAAATACCTGACAATATAAAAAATTGCAGAAATATAGGTTCATTCAAAAATGAAGTGAAAAAATTGATTATTTCTGAGCGAACTGGATAAAATTGAACATGCCATTTTTTTTACAAATATTCTTTGTTTGTCAATTTACAGTTGTTGATATATTTTGTATAATGATATGTTTACCTATTGGTATATAATTATGTACTTCCTTATACCAGAGCCTATTCTGCCTGGAAGTTATTTGTTCAATAAATAAATATCTCAGAATCTGTATATTTGGCAACGTCGAACCTATTGAATGTAAAATCGCAAATTCATTTTATATACAGAACCAAAATATTGTTATTGTTTCTTACAGGGTGTCAGAGATATCTTGATGTTTCCATATTCTACGCACGCACTGTATACAGGGTGATTCAGAGTTCTAGAGATAAAAGCCTATGGGAAAAACTCCTCAACAAAATATGAAAAAAAGTTAATATAAACATGGGTCTAAAAATGGAGATATATGGTGTAGAACTTTGAAAAATAAATAGTTTTTCATTATCTTGAACAAATATTTTTCACAAAATTTGAAGATTGATAAATTGTTTTCATAAATAATATTGTCCAATACATTTTTTTTAATAATATATCTCAACATTCTCATTTTTCCCTAAGGAGTTCAGAGATATGAAAAACAGTACATTTCTATTTATAAATTACTTCTGTCTTGAATTAAACAATCGATTTAATGACCATAATTTTTATTTTATATACCTTACAACACACACAAGATATACTTCGTAAGGTTTTCTTTGTTTAATAAATACCAATATAAATACTTTTAATTAATTTTTTTTTTCAACATTTTGAATAAACAATATTATTTTTATTATTATTATTTATGGTATCGTCCGTTTTTCTCGAAAACGAAGCAAGATACGAAAAATAACAACAGACAGAATTGCTGTATTTTAAGTAGGTTTATCTGAATATTTCGAAAGAACCCAAAAAAGAACAAGATTTTTTTTTTCTACAAAAAAGCTGACTTGCTCGTTGGGTAATCCCCTGGAAATGCTGGATCAAATCTAATTAGTCCAGTAAATGTCTGATATAATCCTGTTAATAAACCATTAAAATGTCATCCAAATCGGCTCAAGCGCTTTTAAGATGAATAAAAAACTCCTTTTTTGACACCACCCCGTATCTAGGAAACTGAGCATTTTCGGTCCCATGTTCATAAGAACTTTTTTTCATATTATGGTTGAGAGTAATCTCCTCCAGGCTTTCGTCACCACAACTCTGAAACACCCTGTATATACTGAGTTCATACATACCTGGCCAACACGCTTTACCATTGTTGATGAATTATTTCAATATAAGTGTTTAAATATAGTAAGTAATAATCTGGAACGTGAAAATACCTACTCATTTATTCCATAATAATCTACATCAATATTTTTTCGTTATTTATCCTTATACAGCGTGTCCCATTGGGAAACGGAAAAACTTCAACGGTGGGTAGTACTCATCAAGGTGGTTCTGAATATTCCATATTCGTAGGGTCTCACAAGTTTTATATCCGAGATTTAGGGTGTTTTATCAATTTTGCCCAATTCTTTGTGAGTACATAACTTACGAACCACTCAGTATATTCTTTTGCAATTTGGTACACAATTCTTTCTTTTTTCACCGAAGCGACTCACCTATCAGTCACGAAAAAAATCCAGGTCCGGATTACCAAAAGTTGATAATATTTCTGGAAACCAAAAAGAACACCCTGTATTTTCGAATTCTCAAAATTCGCTTAAATATTTGGAAAGTGCACAAAAAGCTGAACCGAATAGTGTAACTTTTATTTTCCCACATGCAATTTCACAAAGGAATTTCTGATTTTGAATTCGAGGTTTTATGCATTTGGATAGGTAAAAATAATATGTTTCGAGTTTTCCCAATCGAATAATATTATCACGAACCACCCAGTATATTTTTTTGGAATTTGGTACACGAGTTCTCTTTGATCTAACTAAGCCCCTCACCTATCATTCACGATCGAGAAAAATCCAGGTCCGAATTAACGAAAATTGATTATATATTTCTGGGCCCCAAAAAGAACACTTTGTATTCTCGAATTTCCATAATATGCTTACATATTTGAGAGTTGCACAAAAAGCTGAATCGGATTGTCTACTTTTCATCTTCATACGAATGCTATTTCACTACTAGGGATTGCAAATTTACCGAATTTTAATTTACCGGTAATTCGGTAAATTATTTTAAAAATTACCGATTTACCGGTATTTACCGGTTTTTTCCGACATAAAAAAATAACACAGAAATAAGTCACAAAATAAATAACCAAACTTTAATTCTTATTAAATAATAACAACAGAAAAGTAAAACTCAAGGTAAACTTAAAAAAAAACTAATATACCTAACTTAAAAACTAATAACAGGCTCTAAAACATTCGAAATAGCAATTTCAATAAAAAAATATCTATCGTTTCTTACTTCTCCAACGACTGTTTCGATTTTTTTTGTTTAATAAAAAAGGCCCTGAGAAAACACAGCTTATCAATACTATTATCACTTAGCCGCGACCTAATCTTAGTACAAATTGTTCCTGCCGCAGAAAAGGCTCTTTCGGACTCCACACTAGTAGGCCGAGTTGTCATGAGTGCTGCGAAAGCCATTTTTAGGTATTTCCCCTGAATTCCTTCCTTCCGAAAATATTGCATTTCTGTTTTCACACATTGATGAACACTGTTAGGCTTCTGCTGTCTTCTAATTGAAAGAGTACTGTTTATATCAATTTTTTTTCTTATCGCTAGTTGAAGTTTCTCTTTAATCGACAATGCAGCATTAACCGATTTTGATGTTGATGGGCCCAAAACCCGACTGAGGGGGATGTTATCCTCATCAGAAATATCAGAATCAGAGGAATCATCGAGGTCAATGCTATTTGTATTTTCTGATGACTCTTCTAGGTTTTGTTTTGGAATCCGCCCAATTACTTCCACTATTGCATTTCTTATTGAAGATTCGCTGGTTTTATTAAATACTCCATAATCTTCACCCCTGGATTCCTCAGGAAACGGATTATGCAGGTACTGAAGAACATCAGAATAAATGGTCCGTCTCTCTTTTATACGATCTAACAATGCTTCTTTCAGTTCAATACTTAAAACTGTGTTTTGACTTGTAAGCTCATCAATCATGAATTTTAAGGTAATATCAGCTATAAAAAGATTTGCATCTTCGCAACATAATTGCTCTACTGCAGCTTTTACCGGTTGCAATGCTAAAATTGTACTAGATAGTAACTCAAGTTCATCTTCTGTGAAGTTTATTTCTGATTTAATGTCTATTAAGCTCTTTCTGATGCAATTTCTTAACATTTCAAATCTTTCCAGCATTGCTAACAAACTGTTCCATCTTGTTTTGCAGTCGAGTATTAAAGAATATTCCTTATTAAATTCTTCTTTTACATGTTTTTGTAGAATCTTATCATTTTTAGTCGGTGATTTGCGAAAAATTTTAACGACTTTTCGAATTTTTGTAATTAAACCATTTAATTCAATATTTGATAAGAAAGTTGGCACTGGCAGAGCTTGATCGATGGTTCCACCAGCTTCGTATTCAATTTCAAAATCATCGTGGAAAATTTCATTTTCCTCATTATCGGAATATTCGGAATCAGATTCATTACCTGTGTCGGACTCACTATCTTCATCGATATTTTCGTCACGTAATTTATTAGCTTCGTGTAAATCAGTTTTATTGTTGTATAATACTTTAATTACGGCTAATTGTATGCCATGTGCTATACATAATTGGTGGTGTGGATCTAACAATTTTCCCACTTTTTTCATTACTGAAACACCGTCTGTAGTAATTGATACAATGTTTGTAAAACCAAGTTGAAACTCACTAAGCTTTTTGTTCAAAATCTCCACGCATTTTTCCGCTGGCATGGATCCATGAACCCGAGCTAATCCTAAGTTCCAAAAGGCATCCTTTGTATGGACGTTTATGTTCATGAAGCGATGGTTTTTTACCGATGTCCATTCATCGAAAGTCAAACTAAACACTTCTCCCCGAAGTTTATTCTCTTTCAACTCGTTTATTGCTTCTTGAAGCATTTTATTAGAATATTCCAAAACAATTTTTCTTATGGTATTTGGTGATTTCGGTATATCTCTATAACCTTTTACTTTTAATAATTTTCTTAAATCTTCTGAAGTGCAAAACTTATTAAATGGCAAACCGTCCAGTGCAGTCAAACGTGCAATTACTGCTGGAAATGAATCATCTACAATCTGTTTAAAATACGACGTAATTGTAGATATTTCTTTGTAAGGCTGGCTGTCGCGTTTTCCAGAAATTTCAGATGAAGGTATAGATTTTCCTCTTTTTAACAAGTTTATTTCATGCTGACTCTTTAAATGACTGCGTAAACCACTAGTGCTTCCTCCAGCAGCTTTAATTTGTCTGGAACAAAGTTTACACACACCCCCATCCTTAGTTTTGTTATAATGTTGCCAAACAGAAGTTGTATCCATTGTTTGCTATTGGCTACAACTGCAAGGAAAAGAAGAAAGATGTTTTTATTACATACCCCTGTTTAAAATAAAATAATTATACCTTCAAAGTGCAAATTCACTCACAGAATTAAGTACTAAATGCAAATTTAAGCGCTTAATTCCTCACTTGACAGTCAACATGCCGCGACCTGCGTTCCTGTTCAATCTTGTTTACGATTCATCCCTTCCTCGCTGCGCATTCATCACAGAAACAACGGATCCGCGCTGTTGTCAGCTTGGCATTTTTTACCGAAATTACCGGTAAAAAATGTCGATTTCTCGTCGGTAATTTAAAGAACTTTTAAGGCGGTAAATCGGTAAACCGGTAAATCGGTAAACCGGTAGTGCAATCCCTATTCACTACTGAATTTCTGATTTTGAATTTGAGGTTTTATGCATTTGGATAGGTAGAAATCGAGGTAAAATTTTGAAGTATTCAGAATCAGAAATTAATAGGTGAAAGAGCATGCGGGATATTGAAAAGTACACAATTCGATTCATCTGTTTGTGAACTTTCCAAATATGGAATCGGATTTTGGAAATTCGAAAATACTGGGTGTTCTTTTTCGGGCCCAGAAGATTATAATTCTTCGTTAATCCGGACCTGGATTTTCATCGTGACTGATAGGTGAGTCGCTGGGGTAGAAGAAGGAGGACTTTTGTACCAAATTCCAAAAGAATATACTGGGTGATTCGTGATAGTTTTTGTTATTCGATTGGGAAAACTCAAAACATTTCATTTTTACCTATCCAAATGCATGAAAACTCATATTCAAAATCAGAAATTACCTAGTGAAATAGCATGCGGAAAAATGGAGAGTACATCATATACGATTCAGATTTTCATGCACTTTCCATGTTAGCGGATTTTGGAAATTCGAAAATACAGGGTGATATTTTTGGGGCCCAGATATATGATCAATCTTCGTTGATCCGGTCCTGGGTTTTTCTCGTGACTGATAGGTGAGTCGCTTTGGTAGAAGAAGGCGTAATTGTGTACCAAATTCCAAATGAATATACTGGGTGGTTCGTGAGTTATGTCCTCACAAAGAATTGAACAAAATTGATAAAACATTCTATATCTCGAATATGAAACTTGCGAGACCCTACAAATATGGTATATTCAGAACCACCTTGATGAGCTCTACCCACTGTTGAAGTTCTTCCGTTTCCCAATGGGACACCGTGTATAGTACTTACAGATATATTATTTTCCCTAAATCAGTATTTTTCCAATAATATTCATGTAAGTAGGTAGGTATTTATTATTATTCCTGTAATTTTATAAGCATACTGTTATTATGACTCATGTCTAAACGGATGGCTTTAATCACTTAATTTAATCTTCTACACAGTCTATTGATGTTATTGTTAAAATATAATCATATAAATAGTATATCTAATCGTTTATTTTATCATCTTCCATTTTTTTCCATTGATTATTGACAAAAATCGATTTACAGTGTCTTCCTTCTGTTTTTGCCACATGCAAAAAGTATTCAAAAATTCATTAGGGTATTTTTCATCGTATATCAATAAAAAATACGATTCGTATATTATCCAATTGTCAGTCTAGATTGCATATAGGACATGTCCATTTCCTGAATATACTAATTGTCATTCTGGCGAATCCCAACTTCTTGGTCATAATCAATTATTGTATACGCAAAATTCCATTTTTTCAAATATTCACTGAGAAAATAATGATAAATAAACAGTGTCGTTGTCTTCTTGTGCCTACGAATAAAGTAATAACAAGATTTCTTGGATTTGTGATGATTGAAACAACAGCACTAGAGAAATGCAAGTTGATTTGTTTATAGTAATTGCATAGGTAAATCAACACTCCATAATAACTAAAAATATTATTCACAACCAAAACGCCCTCAAGAAAGTGCCATCCTGATGGAAAATCTGTATTCTCTTGTTTCGTTGCCGGAATCTGCCACCCAAATGTGTCCCTGCATGATTATCGACTGCCACGCCTCTAGGGATCTTGAATTGGCCGAATTATTAGTTCCCTTCTGATCCGAAAGAGGTCAGCACTGTACCGATTACGTCGAATATTTGGATTATGTGGTTGTTTGAATCCGACAACACGACTCGGTTGGTGTTGGAAACTGATATGTACACTACTGCGCAAATAAATCGTAGCGAGTCTTGAGTTATGTTGGTATATTTTGTGTGTACTATCATGTACTATTCATCGTTTAGGCACAATGTCGATCTACCCAAGGGTCCACCTCATTAGCATTTTTGACCTGGTTCAAGTGTTTTGGGTATATATCAGCTGATTTTATTTCCAACAAAATCTCTGCATAGGGTTATATAACATTTTGTGACAAATTTCATGCATACATATCTCGCAAGAAAATAAAAAGAAGTTCCGTAGTTCTCGATATATAGGGTGTGGCAAATTTGAAAAATATCCTGTTTTTATAAATTCCTAGACCTGATGATGTTAATCAAACTTGATAAGCTCGTTTGCAACAATGGGAATCATTTTTTCAGATCAGTGGCTGATATTAATTTGAGAAAAAAAATACATTGGCTATGATTTCTCGAAAAGTAAAATACTCGCTTAAAACTGTGCAACACTCCAGAATTTTTCCAGCAACTTGTTTCTTAGGTGATGATATAACAATTTTCTTCCCAAGTAAGTTGGGAAAATACTTCAAGGGCCAAAAGAGTGGCCGCACAATCTGAAAGAGATATTCAACTCAGAAAAATAGTTGCGGGACATATTCTTCTTCCATTCTGATACTCATATCCGTTGCCTATGACGCCTTTAGATAGACAAAGCAAATTCTGATCATTTTGTTATTTCAATATAGAACTTATCAAATATCACGATGATCGAAGGAATGGTATTTTTCAGAGATGAAGGATGATATAAATTTCAATTTTTTTCAAGTCTGTAATATCCTGAATATCTATTGCGGTTCTCTGTAAACATATACACGAGACCTTATCATTTTATCTTAACACTTCAATATCTTCACATGAGGTTCTGCAATGATCAATAATTGATTAACTGGCGATTATTTACTGAGATATACTTATATTCTGCTATAAACTGCTTTTCAAAACATTCAAAAATGATTTGAACAATTTTCTGTGTGCCGACGGAGTTTTATTATATTCGTGACAATTCCAATGAAAATAAATCTATCAACCAAATAAACTGGTGAATCATTAGATACTTATATTTATTTTTTTAATGATTTGTTGATATACTTTCATTGCCACCGATCAAAAATTGGCAACGTTGTAAATGGTATTTTTTGATCAGACTTGTTGAAAACTTCCTCATATCAACAAAAATAAAGAAAATACAAATTTGATATTATAGGGTCACAGTAGTTTTGAGACGTCAAATCGAATGCGCTAAAAATAAACATAGCATTACATTCAAAAAAATAAAGTTGAGGCTCCTATGGGAAAAACTGTAAAACTGGCAATGTTGCAAATATCATTTTTAGATCTGGCACAACTGATTACTTCCGTATACCAAATTTCATAATTTTATGTCAAGTCGTTGCTGGAATATTCGGCCGTTCCGGTTCTTTTGGGAAACCCTGTATATGAAGGAGCGGCGCATATAGCAGCAATCAATCAGTCAGTGAGGCAGTTGCGTACCGCGTGTTTTCAAAATACCCGAAATAATTAGTATAAGTGTAATGGGCGTGTACACCTTAGTAGAACTTTCAACTCAAACCATGTTGATAATGATCGTTTTATACATAAATAATGCTTGACGACGTAATTCGATCGAAAAATTAACTGGAATGTTTCATTTTTGGACATAAATAATAGTACCTTCTGAAAACGGACCCTCTTATGACGTAGAAACCTCATCTCGCCATAGTTGAAAGAAAATACCAAACACCCGACATTGATTTATTCCGCAGACTCAATCCAACAAATCAGAAATGCAATTGAAAAAGTGACTTGATTATTTTATCTTCATGGTTGTCCTATAATAAATTGAGTATAAATTACAGCAAATCAGCATTTATGTATATCTCTAAACGACGCCTCTCAAGTGAACTGAATTTTGATATCAAATTCAATAACGAAATCGTCAAATATTCCACAGCCATAAAATTCCTTGGGATATTCCTTGATGAACATTTGTCATGGTCCAAACATATTGAATCGATCAGAAAGAAAATATCTCCAGTAATCGGAGTACTCTATACAGGATCAGGCACCAAATCACTTTGAAATACTTGAAATGTATATATTTTTCCTTGGTTTATTCAAAATTACAATACTTGATTTCAGTTTGGGGTACAGCTAGATTATCAATCATGAAGCCAATCAAAATCCTTCAAAACAAAGTTATTAAATGTATATACAAACTAGATTACTTGGAACCAACAAGAAATCTTTATAAGCCTAGCAATTGTTAGATATTAACTCCATTTACAAATTCAAAATATTGAATTTCATCCATTCCGTCAAATAAAAATTATAAACATTCAAATCTGAATTTTGAAGTTGATAGTCATAAATACGAACACATAACCAGACAAAAAGATATGTTAACCCTCATCAAAATCAAATCAGATATGGGTAAAAGAACTAAAGAAAAAATTAAGTGTTGAGAAATTCAAAAAAGAACTGAAAAAATACTTGTGTCTTTGATTCTCTTTATATCATCCTGAATCAATTCAAGAAATTATATTCAACAGTCTCTAGAAGAAACAACATTGTATGTATTATGTATATGATTTAAAAATGATTATCTGATTATCTAATTTTTGTTTTTTTAGTTGCTCTTTCATAATTTTCCCTGCTATAAACATGTATGTTTCTACATAAAGATAATATTTCCAATTCTTTCAACTGTGATCTCGCGCTAATTCACTCTGTCAGAAATCATGTATCATTCATCTCTGTCTGGAATAGTCTTGTTTCAGTATTAGCTAGGGTTTTGACGTCAGATCTTCGCCTCGTTTTCGGAGGTCAAAAAAATCGGGGATTTCAATAATTTTTTATAAAACGTAGGGAGTTCACAGCAAGAAACGGTTTGCGGTGGTGAGCTAGTTTGGGTGAGTTCTATCGAATTAGGGAATAAATTTTTTTCGTGATATAAGCCCATTGTTCAATTCTGCCGACGAATAACGTAACAAGAATATTATTCCCTGGTTTTTGTGATGAATAAAACAACAGTACTAAGAGAAATGCAAGTAGATTTGTTTATTTTAATAGGTAGGTAAGTCAGCACACTCCATGATAACTAAAAAGAACATTAGAAGATTAATCAGAAAATCGTCAAAACACTTGAATTCTATGATTCTCTCGATCGCACACTAGCACGTGACCGTTGGGACTCATCGCGACCCCTTCCAAACCCTTAAACTCCCCTTTCCCGATTCCCCAACAACCGAAAGCCCTTAGGAAAGTGCCATCTGGATGGAAAATCTGTATCCGGTTGTTGCCGGAATCTGCCACGCAAATGTATCCCTGATCATCGACTGCCACGCCTCTAGGGAACTTGAATTGCCCGTCTTCGTTCCCTTCTGAGCCGAAAGAGGTCAGCACTTTACCGTTCACGTCGAATATTTGGATTCTGTGGTTGTTGGAGTCTGATACCACGACTCGGTTGGTGTTGGAAACTGCTATGTAGTGGGGATGTTCGAGCTGGCCTTCTTTGTTGCCCATCGAACCGAATTTTCCGACGAACGTGCCGTCTGATTGGAAAACCTGGAAAATCGGGCGATTTGAATGAATTTAGTTTGGTCAAGCATGAGGAATATGTATGCATAATTTCTTCAGGAAGTGGATTAGTGACGCTATATTCTCATTTAGTATTTTTTTTTGTGGTGGAATATTGTTGTACATTGCTGATGGGTAACATTTTCAATAAATTTGCATACGTTAAAGGAATAACACACTTGAATATTCGCGTATCTCTAAGGAATATCCTCTGCTGCTTATAGGCACAGTGTCGGGCACATGGGAACATTTTAAGCCAGAGCCGGGCCACTTCAAAGGAAACATATTTACACAGATATGTACCGGGTCATCAACAATCGATTGAACACCGCACGTAACCAAAATGTGTTTGCAACCAACACTGCACAATTGGTAAATGAATATGTGGAAATTAACAGCTGCTATCAAAATAAAACATAGGCGTATGGGATATTTGCATTTGAAAATGCATCATGAAATTGTTCCCGGCAGCTTCGAAGTGAATATATATCAGGATCAGTGGCGGCTCGTGACTTTCATGACAGAGGAGGCTGAATGATATGAGATTTATTGTGAAAAACAACTCTCTACGACTCACCCAAATCAATAGCTTCAATGACATTCTGTTTACCAGTTAACCTGAACTTGATACTTGAAGAGATGTGTTCCGCGAGGCAAATTTTTCAAATCATTATATCCCTGTCGCCCCCAACATGATGACTTATCGGTTGAAAATAATACGCAGTACCAACAAAATAGCTTATTCCTTACCTCAGATCCCGCGTCAACCAGATATATTTTTTATAATTATCAGAATTGAACGAACGATTTTGTTTGCTACCTGTTACAATCAGATTTTTTAATTCCGGTGTCGGATGTTTGTTTTTCACAATCAATTCATCACCATAAGACAAAGCACTGAATGGGTTCACCAAAAAGTATTCCACTAAATCGAAATCGTTTAAAACACTCATTTTTCAGAAATTTATAGAGCCCCTAACCATCAACCCAATCAGCCAAAGTACGTCTTAAAGGCGTCTTTAAGACGTACATGTCGGGACATAAGTACGTCTTAAAGACGTACATAATTATTACGCCCAAGAGACGTCTTTAAAACGTACATTTTCCACTAATTATGTACGTCTTTAAGACGTCTTTTTTAGGTGTTTTTGGTCCATGACCTCAAATTGATCTTTCAAATTACGGAAAAATCACATAGTTTCAGTTGATTTTCACCTGTGCAATGAAGTTAGCAACAAGTGCAGACAAGCAAGCAAGAAAAAGGGAAATAAACGACTTTATCAAACGTAGACACAAGCGGTCACCCATTCAAGTACTAACCGCGCTCTTTGTTGCTTGACTTCGATGATTATACCATATTCACTTCTACTGTTACTCTGTTTGTTCCATATATCACATAACAAGCTTTTACTTAGTTTAACATGTCTTTGTGTCTGTTTGTAATCAAAACGTGCAAGTTAAATTTGACTCACTTTAAATCGTCCGATTGAATTGAAATTTGGCAAGTTAATATTATTCCGGTGACAATTCGTTGTGATATTATTATTGAATGGAAAAAACAGAATGGCGGATCCAATATGGCGGACGATGTGGCATATGGTTTTCTGATTATGGTCTGATCTGATTCAAAATTGGCATCTGAAGGATTTCGGGATCAGAGATTATAATTCCTTTTGTCGAAAATGCAAAAACCAAGATGTCGGCTTCAAAATGGCGGACGAGTTTTGTGATTATAGTCCGATTTTATTCAAAATTTATTACTATGGGACTTTTGGGGTCGGAGAATATGATTTTTTCGTAAAAATTCGAGAATTTAACACGAAGGCTCCAAAATGTCGGACGAAAAAATTCAAAAACATCACTTTTGTTGAAAATAAAAAAAACTGAACCATTGAAAATAAAAAACGTGAAGAGATGACATTTTGTTTTTCTTCAGAAAATAACTTACATTATTGTTCTATAAGTCGAATTGACGTACTGGAATGTACGTCTTTAAGACGTCTTTTATAAGACATGGGAGGAACGACGTGGATACCACCTAAAATGTACGTCTTAAAGACGTAAATTCGTGTACGTCTTTAAGATGTACATGGATTTACATCTTGAAGACGTACTTTATACGTCCCCGGACGTAAAGACGTAAGTAAGTCGTAAAATGTACGTCTTTAAGATGTCTGGTGCTGATTGGGTAACCTAACATAAACATAAACAATGCTCTCGCACTGGATTGTCCGCAATTCGCGACGCTACACGACAAACACGTGTATTTCGGGCGTACTCGGGCATTCGCATTGCCCGCGTGGGTTGCGCCATGTGAAGGAGTCTAGCCTCCTATCGATGTTGCCAAGTTGAATATTTCACGCGTGTTGCCAATTCAAAAATATTTACCCAAAGACAGGAAATAAAATGAAAATCTATGTATTTTGGTGTCCTTTTGATGAGAAAGTATAGATAATATCAGTTTGAGGAGAATCTCTGAGGAGCCGCCACTGATCATCAGGATTACGAGTACTACTTCTCAAATGTCTCGGAAGGCATTATTCATTTCATCAAAAAAACAAAAGTCTAATCCTGGAAGGAAAATAAGGATATATGAACAATAAAAACAAGAGATGAATTATTGATCTTACCTTTTCACAACAATGAACTGGAGATGAAGTTTTGATAAAAACTGTTTTTATGAAAAAAAGATCTATATAAACTATATCAACAAATACAGGAGAAGAGACAACAAAGCGCTACTGGATGCTAATGAGCTACAGCTGTGCAGTATAAATTTCGGATTCCAACTTTCCTGTCTTCAATTTTTGTAAACAAGGCAATCCATTGGCAGGGTGCTAATATGACATACTATATATGATGATGTTACCTGAGTAAATATGATAACAAAAATGTATTATTGGTTGCATACGAATATGGTTATATGTGGTGTTCAATCATTGATATGAAGACCCGGTATATTGTTGAATAATATGAATTACTACGAATGATAAAAATAAAATGAAATTCAAAAATATTTGTTGTGAATATTTATTCGTAATGTAATCTAGTCATTACGGTGTGATATTTCTTGTTTCATCATTTTGATGCATGACATTGCAGTGATTTAGAATATCAAAAATTTGCTGCGGGCCGCAAAATATTTCGACATATTGGTACATAAGTGGTACGAGATCAGGTTTATGTAGGCAAAGTTGCGCAATTCTGTACTCATCAAATCTGTACTCATTAAAACGCCGCTTTGAAATTTGAAGAATTCCGAATACTTTCGAGGATTTTTGAAAATTTGCGAATATTCGCGATTTCATTCATATTTTTTTATGACTCTAATTGAAGAGATGTAACAAAACAAGTCACACTTATTTCTCATTTCTACTTTTTCTGTTCTACAAAATGGTGTTATATGATTTTCAAACCGATGTTTTTTTCTTTGAGCTGCCATCATATCAACTTTGACTATTGTTTAATATATGACCCTGGGTTTTTCATTATAGATTTGAAGAACTTTTAATCCTTGAATCAACGGTCTATCGCACTTATCCGAAAAATACGTGTTTATTTTCAATCCAATTAAAAATCTGTAACACATGCGTTCCTATATAAAAACGAATTATTATAAATGAATATTGCTCTAAGAACTACGTCTAACAGATAATTTGGCACATAACCCATGCAGTGGCGTATTAATTTTTTTTCGTTGTATGGTTTTGAAGATACGACACGATAAACCTATATAGTTTTTAAGAAACACCTTGTATTTTATTACTTGGTGAGTATATTCGAGTGGACCTCTTTTTTGTTGTCCATGTTCAACCGAATTTTCCGACGAACGATTGGAAAACCTGTGAAATCAGGCGATTTGAATAAATTTCATACGGTCGTCAAATGGTCGTCAAGCATGATTGAGAATGATAGCTATGCATAACAGTACCTGCATAATTTCCGGAATGTATAACAAGATTAGTGACGCTATGTTTGTTTCATTTCATTTTTTCCTCTTTGTACCCCGTATCCTCATTACGAATATTTTCAGATCACAGAGGTTATATATGGAGTAAAGTTCCATTCATTTTACATTCAGAATTACATCAATCTTGAATATGACTATGGTAAAAGGTTGGATATACAGTGGCGGATCACTGCATAGGCGCAGTAAGCGCTCGCTTAGTACCCCGAAGAACAAGGGGGCCAAAAGCTTCGTTACATTTTTCATTAGGAGTGAAATATATAGGTATGTCCAGTTGGGACATTCAGGACGTTCGAATTTGGTACTGCGGACTTCCATTGGACGTCTGGGGGACGCACAAATGTCCCACTTGAGGACCAACTAGGGATGATCCTAACTAACGCATTCCTTAATCCTACAGTATATCATCTCTCATCAAGCACTACACTACACTACATGACACTTCATTCAGTGTCCATACCAGACAGATCTGAATGGAATGACGGAGAACTCAGCACCATACTGCAGGGAAAGATCTGGTTTACAGACGGGTCCAAGACTGGGAATGGGTCAGGAGCAGGAGTATACACCACACATCTGGAAACTAGCCTCAGCTACTCATTGGGGAAGTATGTCTCAGTTTTCCAAGCAGAGGTGTACGCAATTCTCCAATGTGCGGAAGAAAATAACAAGAGAGCTGTCGAAAACGAACAGATCCGTATTATGTCAGACAGTCAAGCGGCACTTGAGGCAATAGAAAGCCAGGAAGTGACATCTCGACTGGTATGGGATTGCAAGAGGGAACTGAGAACTCTGGCAGACCGGAACTGCGTCAAGCTAATCTGGGTGCCAGGTCATCAGGGGATCGCTGTCAATGAGAAGGCTGACGAACTTGCAAGAAGAGGGTCGGACAACGAGCCAGATCCAGGACAAACTCTTGGAGTACCAAAACGTACAGCACGATTGTCAGTTAAAGACTGGATTCAGGTGAAACATGAGAGCTACTGGGAAAACATCCCAAGAAACAGACATGGGAAACAATACATGAAGGCCATGCGCCAGTAAAGGAGCATCTCGCCAGAATGGGACTGTACAATGGCGACAAAAGTTGCAGACTATGTGGCAAGGAACCAGAAACAGTAGCACACATATACTGTGTGCCGATTTGAGGCATTGGACCGCAAAAGACATAAGATCTTTGGGCAACCAGTTGGCGAACCAGAAGTATTCAACTCTCATCCAGTGAAGGATTCGTACAGATTTGTTCAAGGTACAGAGATAATGGAGTGGGCACAATAAAGAACTACTAGGTAAGATACAATGGGCCACCATAGGCCTAAGTGTCGTCGGAGACATGGTCAGACGAGCCTACAAACGGGGTGGCGTTTTAAGTGGGTAAACCCTGGCTAGAGTCATGGGAGTTCCAGACTATCATATGGGGGATTGAACCCATATGAAGTCCATAAAGGATTCAAACCACCTCAAAAAAAAGCACTACACGGGGGACATTCGTAGGACAACATATATATCAACAGTTATGAAGGATATTGATTGGATGTCCTATGGATGTCACAGGGGCGTACGATGAGGACATCCAGTTTACTTGATGGTCCGTAGAAGGTCCCCAATAGATACTGTAGAAGGTTCCCAAGAGGTCCCTTCAAAGAGTTTCCCAAGGATGTTCACTGGCTTTGGTAGAGGACATTGACGAGCAGTATTTATAGCCTACGAGCAGTCGATCGTCGGCGAGGTGTGAGTTGACATCCTCGCAGGAGCAACATATTAAACGTACCGACTGGGACATCCGTAGGACGTTATTCCTAGGGCATTGGAACAAAAATGTGTATCTCAAGTCCTGATGCCGATGTATACCACCGATGCGATGTCCCTTATGTTATACATTCCGAATCGTATTCAGGTCATTCTGAGGACGTCCATGAGACGTTGTACTCATGACATCTTTCGAAATTATTTTCCCAGAAGAATATTTTTATCCTTATTATTGCTTAGATGAACATATAGATTAGTATTTATTCATTTTCATTCATTTATTTATTTATTAGAAACAAACAAGTAGTTATACCTAATTACATGTTTCTATAGGGGTTCCTTCTGAAGTCATAACAGTTTAATAAGTACCAATTGGGACATCCGACATATATTAAGAGCGTCCGTGCTGTACCGTCTCTAGAACATTCCATGGTTGTTCTAGAAAAGGGACATATAAGGTCTGAAGTCATGTCAAAATATTATCTACTTGGGATCATCCGGTGGATGTCCCTAAAGGCACGTTTAGAATTATATTTCATTAGGGACATGCTAAGGTCGTCCTTGCATGGACATGCTAAGGTCGTCCTTGCATGGACATGCTACAATATGTACCACGTCGTGGGACGTCTGAAGGATGCTTTTATGTTATTTGAAATGATGTAGCACATGGGATATTCCATTCACGTCCTTGCTCGGCATTAGATGAGATGTACGAGATAGGACATCCCGAGGACATATATTTTAGGTCTGGGACATTCGGACTTGAATTGTACCAATTAGAAACGTCCCTAAGACGTTATTGCCTGCTATTAGGGATATCAAATTCTTATTGAGTCTTTACAGTATACAGGGTGTCCGCTAAAAGGAGGTCAATCCATTAACTATATATTCCTTGAACAAAAACAATATGAGTTTCTCAATACCATTTTTCATTTTAGCCCTTCATATTCGATATACAGGGTGTCAAAGTTGGAAATTAAAAACTGTTTTTTCCTAATTACTCCCGTCTTTAATAAGATATCAATCTCAAAATTGGTACATAACTTCAACACAAAGAGTTACATAATGTGAGGAAAACAAAACAGAAAATAACTGTCAAATATTCAAAATACTGGGGGTCAAGTACACTCTTACCCCCATATTTTTTTGTACGTTCGCTAATGACTTCCTATCTATTTTTCTTCAAGTGTTATATTACTTTTGAGTATTATTTGTTTCTTGTGAAATTTCGATAAAATTAATTGTTTTTAAGATAATTCGAAAAGTACTGGTTATTGTTTGATGCCTATGCGGCTTATGGTAATCTCATAATGTTCACTTACTCCTATTTATTTCATCGAAATTGGAAGAGGGCGTATTTTTTACATACGAAAAGGTAAATATGGAAATACCGGGTGCTCAGAGCAAATGTATTGAAATTATTTTTACACCAAAAAATAAAAAAGAAAGTAAGGACACGTGTCGAATAAAATTTTTTTGCCAATGGAACGGCGTGAATTTTTTTTACGGGGTCAAATAAAAAAAAAACGTTTTTTGGAATTTCGGGTAAATAATGATTTTAGGAGGATGAGGGGGGGCCGATTGACGTGCCCACCCTTTTAAAGGATTATTAAATTGATTTTTTTCGAGAACAGCAAATTTTTTAAAATAAAATTGAAATCGGTTTGAGCGGTTTTGGGTGGTGCGGAAGTTTTTAAAAATATTTTCGAGCCTTTTCCCCACCGTATGGTATGTCGGACGCGAACGAACAGGAAATAAAATCGGAAAAAATTGAAACTAAATATTTTCGGAAATTTTTGGTGAAATTATGATATTCATGATTTTAATAGCTACTTGATGAAAGAAATAATAGATGAGGATTGTCTATGGATGTATGAAAGATTTTGTGTATGAGCCACATATTTTTCAAAGGCTAAGATTTTCTTTAATTAAAAGGGCTCGCATGTGTATTCAAGAAATTCATATCGAGCAATTCATTTAGACGTGTTGAACTTCTATCAATTTTTTTTAGTAAAAATTATTTTAATACATTCGCTCTCAGCACCCGGTCTTTCCATATTTACCTTTTCGTACGTGAAAAGTTACTCCCTCTTCCAATTTCGACGAAATAAGAGTATGTGAACCGAGATGTGAACATTATGAGATTACCGTAAGCCGCATAGGCATCAAACAATAACCAGTACTTTTCGAATTATCTCAAAAACAAATGATTTTGTCGAAATTTTACAAGAGACAAAGAATACTCGAAAATGATTGAACACTTGAAGAAAAATAGATAGGAAGTCATTAGCGCACGTACAAAAAAATATGGGGGTAAGTGTGTACTTGACTCCCAGTATTTTGAATATTTGACAGTTATTTTGTGTTTTGTTTTCTTCACACAATGTAACTCTCCGTGCTGAAGTGATGTACCAATTTTGAGATCGATATCTTATTAAATACGCGAGTAATCAGAAAAAAACTGTTTTTAATTTCCAACTTTGACACCCTGTATATCGAATATGAAGGGCTAAAATGAAAAATGGTATTTAGAAACTCATATTGTTTTTGTTCAAGGAATATATGGTTAATGGATTGACCTCCTTTTAGCGGACACCCTGTATATACCTACATTATTTCTGAACGTAGAAATCTTCTTGAATATTGTAATTGAATTGGTGAATGATCTTTTACCGCACTGAAAAAAGTAACGAAGAATATGAGAAATACACTCACTGACTAGAAAAAAATTACTAAATTGATCGTTCTGGAACATTCCTAATTCTTGAATTTCGGGTGATATTTCAGAATGTAAAGCTGAATTTTATCCCCAAAAAAAAGGTGATGGCTTTTTGATCCTCGGCTTGATCACTATGCAGGAAAAAACAAAAGTTACTCTGTCGCAACTTCTTAACTCCCCGTGGCTAACATATGAGTGGTTAAACCACGTTATACTTCGCATTCATAGCTTAGTCCGATACTACAATATAGACTCATCAAGAACTACACGATCTGCCCTTGAGATAATTCCTCAAGATAGCTTCAGAAATTTGATCAAACTCGATGCCACGGCGGTTGAATGCTGTAATTCAAGCTCAAGGAGACTTGTTATTGATTACATCTTATAGGGAGTCTCCCTCTCGCTTGTTTTTTGTAATTTGGGTATTTCTGCCGTGGTAAGAGAACGGGGCGCTGATTTTCACATGTTTTTTGAGACATGTGTATTATTCAGAAAGTAATTATATTCACCTACGGCCAGTATAGAAAGAAGGCAAGAACACACGAAATACAGCCTCAGTAAGTTGCTCTTTACGCACAGTAAGAACATCGCACAATTTTCGTGTATTCCGGTATAGTATAGGTATGTCATGATCGTGTAATCGCCGTCAACAGCAGATGACATAACTGTCAAGAATTATAATTCAGACTGTTTGTCCGAACGTTTTTGAGTACATCAAAAACGTTCGGCAGTAGGTAAAGTAAAGTGTTGTAAAGCAATTACGCACTCGCCGCTCTGCGGCACATTTTGACTTGTGAACAAAATAATCATGCATAATAATATTACATTCAGATACTCTGAGAAAACCTATTCAGTAGTTCTTTTGTATTTATCATATACACACAGGATATTATTTGTTCAAGTTATTAAAATTATTTTTCAAGTTTAATTAGGAGGCAATATCATCATAGTGGATACTCCAATCGAGAAGGTATCTTTTTTCAGATTTTCTCACCTGTACTCTATGATTTTCCTTATCACAAACATAAATGAATCCCAGAGCATCAGTTGTTATACCCCAGGGATAGTTGAATCTCCCATCGGCAGTTCCCTGACTTCCAAAGCTGCGTAGAAAACGTCCAGAAGGGTCAAAAACCTGGAAAAAAACTGGTATTTTAATAATCTGTGATATAAGTCCCCACATGTTTTCTTGAAGTAGAATGATTCGATGGAAGAAATAGACAAATTCTAAGCATAAATCTCCAAAACTAAGTAATCGATGGAAAATAAGTATATAATACATAATCTACATATATTTCAATCATAATTCCAACTAAGAGATGTGAGCAGCAGTTAGTGTCCGAGAAAAATAATCGAAACCTTCAAATTTTGTGATTTGATGAGCTCAATCAATCAAAGGTCAAAAAATGACAAGGTTCGCGCACTGATAACAAATTGCGAAGTGACACTTTTTTTCAGTTTCCTACGTTACCATGATACCTTGCACATAACAATGCGCGAAGTACCTAACACAGTGCCCGAAGTAGATACCTACTTCGCGCATTGTTATGTAAAATATATGAGAAATTTATATTTCAACCTCATGGTCCTCAATCGAGCGAACATCCACGAAATCATTTATTTCTGAATGTTCAAAAATATCTTCGTTTTATCTCTTGGAGCGCACGAAAGGAAATTCCTATTATGTTCGTGGAACATCGGGCGCACCAATGGGGAGGATATGGTGAGGCCTTTTGAGTCAGTTCAACTCCATTTTTTCTATATCAAGCTAAGTATATTTTCACTTCAGAAATATATTTTTTCTACAAACGTCAAAAAATGACAAGGTTCGCGCATTGATAACAAATTGGGAAGTGACACTTTTTTTCAGTTTCCTACGATACCATGATACCTTGCACAAAACAATGCGCGAAGTAAAACAGTGCGCGAAGTACCTACTTCGCGCATTGGTATGTAAAATATATGAGTATTTATATTTGAACTTTATCAAGCAAACGTCCACGGAATCATTCATTTTCAAATGATCAACAATAACCTTGTTTTATCTCTTGGAGTGCACGAAAGAAAATTCATATTATGTTCGTGGAACATCGTGCGTACCTAGGAAGGATAGGAGGAGGCCTTTTAAGCAAGTTCAACACTATTTTTTATATCAAGCTACGCATATTTTTACTTAAGAACTATATTTTTGACGTTTGTAGAAAAAATATTGTTTGCAACTCGAGCGCGAAATACTTTGGTCATCTCGACTATTTTTTTAACTCGGCTACGCCTCGTTAAAAAAATCAGATCTCGATCACCAAAGTAGCATTTCGCGCTCTAGATACAAAAATAACTATTTTGACGTTTGTAGAAAAAATGTTGTTTGCAACTCGAGCGCGAAATACTTCGGTCATCTCACCAAGTAGCATTTTGCGCTCTAGATACAAAATAGTTATTAAAATAGTCAAGATGACCAAAGTATTTCGCGCTCGAGTTACAAACAACATTTTTTCTACAAACGTCAAAAAATATAGTTCTAAAGTAAAAATATGCTTAGCTTGATATGAAAAATAGTGTTGAACTATCCTCGATAGGTACGCAAGATGTTCCACGAACATAATCGGAATTTCCTTTCGTGCGCTCCAAGAGATGAAACAAAGTTATTGTTGAACATGCAGAAATGAATGATTTCGTGGATGTCTGCTCGATTGAGGACCATAAAGTTGAAATATAAATATTTCATATAGTTTACATAACAATGCGCGAAGTAGTCACTTCGCGCACTGTTTTACTTCGCGCATTGTTTTATGCAAGGTATCATGGTAACGCAGGGAACTGAAAAAAGAGTCACTCCGCAATTTTTTATCAATGCGCGAACCTTGTCATTTTTATACGATTGTAGAAAAATAACTATTTCAAGAACTTTATTCGAATGATGCAGCAATAATAATTGCAGTTACAGTTTCAAATTTCAAATTATCTGAAATATCAGCAATATTCAAAAAAGGCTATTAGACTAGAGTCGATAATTTTCTGATTCGAAAAACATTATACTAGAATGCAATCCATTGGAAAAGGAAGAGAATATAACAAAGATGAAAGGAAATAGTTATTATTGTATCTAGTTCGCGAAATGCTACTTTGGTGATCGAGAACTGATTTTTTCAACGAGGCGCAGCCGAGTTCCATTAGCGCATTGCTTCGCACATGGTGTTGTGGTAACGTTGGAAACTAAAAAAAAAGTTGAACTTCGCAAATCATTATCAATGCGCGAACCTTGTCATTTTTTGACGTTTGTAGAAAAATATATTACGGGAGATCTTGGGTGGTGAAGTGGAAGGGGATGGGCTTTCAAGGGTAATAAAACGGATTATGCCGACTTCCGGCAAAACTACAAGTCCTATGGAAAGAAGTTGAACAGCGAAGTAGTAGGCAATGAGAAGATCAATAACTTTTGTCTTTACACTTTTTTCACATAGCCTCGAAATTCATGTGAAAAATTCAAATGACTAAGTTTTTGGTTTTTTATTTTTATCTTCCACAAAAATGGATATTTATTATACAAGGGAAAACGAAGTAGATTTTTGCTCGAGGTTATGAGCTAAAATCTGATATTTCGCATTTGCATGTTCATTACACTATATTTCTCTGTAGCAGGAGAAAGGACAAAACAATATCGACAAGATATCACATTATATCAAAATCAAAAATTAATCGACCCGAAATTTGAAGTTCTCAACAAGAATTACAACTGCGTTGCAGGCATCTTTATCATTCTTTTTTGATGTAATCACTATCTACTGGAATTTATTCGGACAAAATACAGGGTGCTTCAAGATTCAGAATTCTGATCACCCTGTATCTGTTCCAATTCAGTGTCAGTAGATAGTGAATCGAAAGTCAAGATAGAGACATGTAAGCCGTTTTGATCGATGATGAATAGTTTCGACACAAAAAAATCTTAAAATTGAAAAATCTCGATTTTGAACACTATATAATATATCCGTAATCATTCCTGCTAGACTCCAAGTGTGATGCATTGATGGAATCAGCTCTTCAGGAAGAATCTAAAAATGCAATAAAATACAGGGTTATCCATTTGAAACAACAAAGTTGCTAGTTGTTTCTGATAGAAGTGGAAACACTGTATTGGAAGAGGAATGTCCAGTTATTTTTATCAATTCTTGTTCATTGATACCTGCTTTAGCTAGAGTTGACACGGCGCTTGAGCGATGAGAATGATTAGAAATTTTTTTATTCTTTGTATCCAGTCCAATTTTTTCAGCTGAAATTTTCGTCCACTTGAGAATTTCGTTGACTCCTATAGGAACATTTTTGTACCAAATTTTCGGTGAATTACTTTTCCAAAACGGATTGGGGGTTATAAATAATCTATCAGTTGTAATATGGTTCGGTCTATGTGATAATATTTTATAAAACAATGTTACTGGGCATATGCTTGGGTTTTCTATGTTTTTTATTAGCCATTTACTGTCGCAGCATTTGTTTGAGCCGCCCTGACATGTTTTGGAAAAAACTGTATTATATTCAATGCGGCCAGTAAAATCACCATTATTTGATTTTTCTTCTTTAAAATAGTGTACTACACATTTTGCAGCTTCACCTCCTCGCCAAGCTAATTCATATGCAGCGATATGAAAAAATCTTTTTAAAAGACCTATAGGACTATTTTCATCCCATATCAATGCCATTTTAACAATTTCACTTTTAGTCAAGGCTGTTGAACTATTTTTACGTTTTTCTAAATTACTTTGTAAGTTCTTTCGCTTAGAATTACGTGCATCACGGGATTTCTTGAATGCCAAATCAGTGAAAGGATTGAAAATAACATTAAATTTTTCGAAATACATGCTTTGCAACATCTTCGCTGTTGTGTTCCACATTGTTTTCACCACGTATTCTTTATAATCTTCCCCATTCTGTTTCTTCATAATAAAGCCCCAGTCCATCAATATTCCTGCCACATTTTCCACTGACTGTTCGGTTTCCAAATTGAAGTTTCGTTGTTTACAAAATTCGCTGAATTGATTCCAAATGGAGGATTGACTTTTTTTTGTATTTTCTGGAGTTGATTTTTCAATCTCCCTCACTATTTCTGCCTCGCAAATGTTTCCAAATCTCGACATACTCACTGGAATATTATTTGCTGATTAATTCTGTTTTTGACATTTACAATTGTCAAACTGATGCGACGCGCAATAACGCTTGATGAACGAACAGTAAATACTAGCGTTTGCTACGGTAACGTAATTTATCCGATTTTTTTATCCACTTGCACTTCTGTTCCTTCATATTTAGCCGATAGCAAACTACGATTTTTGTACTCGCAAATGGAAATTATTATACATGAGTGGAATTGTCGACGTGAAATTTTAAGTTTTCAACATTAGGGACACCTGCGTGTAGGCATCTTTATCATTCTTTTGAAGTAATCGAATATTTCATGTCACTTTTGTCAGTCTAATTCTGTGATTTGATTTCAAGAAATTGCGAATTTAGTGGTTGTTTAGTAATATACGTAACTGCGAAGTCGAATGGAAGATAAAAGGATTTGCAGTTCTTTCTAGGAGACGGTATTATTGACTAGTGGTGCCCGCGAGAGTCTCGTTTTCGAGAGTCTCGCATGGTCTCGTCTCGTTTTTGAGACAATATTCGAGACGAGACTTGGACAAGACGAAACGAGACTTTTATTGGTCTCGTCTCGAGTCTCGTGCAAGATTTCTCGTGTCTCGTGCGAGAGTAAATATTTCTGCGTGCCAACCGCAGACTTGAGAATTTCATTCATAATAGAACATATTTAGAAATAATTCTATAAGAAAACATTCGCCTTCATAATGAATCTGCATGATGTTTGTTATGTCCTAACGACAGGGTGAAAACCAAAAACATTCGCGATCGTGGAGGCTGATCTGACTGATAAAGGTTTTTTTCTCCAAGCGGCAGGGATAGTGGCTTTTTCATGCTGCTTAAAAGGCAGAAAAGGTGTACTTTTACTGCCTTGGCAGAAAAAGTGTGATGCTATTCAACGTTCCAAGAAATTATAATGAAATTAGTAATCAAAATTGACACTGACATTGAGTGAACACAAAATGATGAGTTTTCAATAAAAAAGTTACACAAAATTGGTTTTAT